GGTATATGTAAAACTGATTCACTTTGCTGTACAGCAGAAACTAACACAATGTTGTAAATTGACTATACTCCAATAAAAATTAAAAAAAAAAACACCTCAAGTTGAAGTCCTAACCCTCAGTACCTCAGCATGTGACCATGTTTAGAGACAGCACATCTGAAGATGTATTAAGTTAAAATGAGGTCATTAGGGGAATTCCCTGGCAGTCCAGTGGTTAAGACTCTGAGCTTTCACTGCCAAGGGTGCGGGTTCAATCCCTGGTCGGGGAAGTAAGATCCTGCATGGCATGGCCAAAAAACTGAAGTCATTAGGGTGAGTTCTAATCCAATATGACTGGTGTTCTTACAAGAAGTGGTGGTGAGGACACAGGCACAGACAGGAGACCATATGAAGATACAGGGAGAAGACAGCCATCTAAAAGTCAACACCTCAAGACTTCCCTGGTGGTCCAGTGGTTAAGACTCTGCACTTCCACTGCAAGGGGCACAGCTTTGACCCCCTGTAGGTGAACTAGGATTCTGAATGCCACACAGCCAAAAAAAATTAAAAATAAGTCAGCACCTCAGAAGAAACCAACCCTGCCAACACTTTGATCTCAGACTTCTAGCCTCCAGAATTGTGAGAACATGAATTTCCATTGTTTAAGCTACCCCATCTTTGGTACTTTGTTATGACAGTCCTGGAAAACTAGTAAGTTTAGGTGTCAAATATTCCATCATTAATTTTTTTTTAATTTTTAAAAATCCATAGGATAGTAGAAAAGTATGTATCAAACTGTTAACAATGGTCATTTCTGGAAGGTGTGATTATGGGGAATTCTGATTTTCTATATTTACATTTCTGAACCCTTCATATCTTTTATAATGAGTATATTTTGGTTTGTATTTAAAGGAAGGAAGAAAAGGGAGAGAGAGCATGGACATGATTTGTCCAATATTGTAGTGAGTGAGTGGCAGAAAAAGAAAAACTGGATTACATTTACAATCATTTCCCAACATTTCTCCATCTAACAGAGAAGCAGACATGTTGTATGGTACTTCCAAAACTGTTCCTTAAGAGAAAGGAAATTCCCTTTTGTCCTCGTTCCTTCCCTCTTCTTCCTGCCTAGGATGGAGCTGTAATGACTGGAGCTCCAGCAGCCATCTTGGAGCAAAGGATAATCTCAACAATAGTAACAATGCACAGTGGAGGAGAAAGACGGAGTCTGTGTCTCTGAAGACTTCAGTGAGCTACCATACCAACCCTGAGCTGCCTACCTCTGCGTTTCTTTTCGATGTGAGAATAAACTCTTATGTGTTTAAACCAACATAAATTGGACCTCTGTTACTTGCAAATAAACCTAATCCTAATTCTTACAAAGGATTTTTTGTTTGTTTGTTTTTGTTTTTTTTGCGGTACGCGGGCCTCTCACTGTTGTGGCCTCTCCCGTTGCGGAGCATAGGCTCCGGACATGCAGGCTCAGCGGCCATGGCTCACGGGCCCAGCCGCTCCGAGGCATGTGGGATCCTCCCGGACCGGGGCACGAACCAGTGTTCCCTGCATCAGCAGGCGGACTCTCAACCACTGCGCCACCAAGGAAGCCCCATTTGTTTTTGAAGTATAACTGACCGACAACACTATGTTAGTTCCTGTTACACAAGATAGTGATTCGATATTTCTATATATTTCAAAATGTTCACCACAGTAAGTCTAGTTACCATTTGTCACCATACAAAGATATTACATAATTATTTATTCCCCACACTGTACATTTCATACCCATGACTAATTGATTTTGCAACTGGAAGCTTGTACCTCTTAACGTTCCTCATCTATTTCTCTCCTTCCCCCAGCCCCCTCCCCTCTGGCAACTGCCTGTTTGTTTTCTATATCTATGACTCTGCTTCTGTTTAGTTATGTTTGTTCTTTTTTTTTTTTAGATTCCACGTATAAGTGATAACATACTTTCTTTCCTGCCTTTCTCTGTCTGACTTATTTCATTAAGCACAATACCCTCCAGGTCCATACATTTTGTTGCAAATTCAAATTTTCATCCTTTTTTTTAAGGCTGAGTAGTATTCCATTGTGTGTGTATACCATATTTTCTTTAGCCATTCATCCATCAGTAGACAGGCTGTTTCCATGTCTTAGCTATTGTAAACAATGCTGCAGTGAACACGGGGGTGCAGACATCTTTTTGAATTAGTGTTTTCATTTTCTTCAGATAAATACCCAGAAGTGGGATTGCTGGATCATATGGCAGTTCTATTTTTAATTCTTTGAGAAACCTCCGTACTCTTTTCCATAGTGGCTACACCAATTTACATTCCCACTAACACTGCACAAAGGTTCCCTTTTCTCCACATCCTCGTCAACACTCGCTATTTGTTGTTTTTTTTGATAACAGCCATTCTGACAGGTGTGAGGCGACATAACATTGTGGTTTTGATTTGCATTTCTCTGATGATTAGTGATTCTGAGCATCTTTCCACGTGTCTGTTGGCCATCTGTATGTCTTTTTTGGAAAAATGTCTATTCAGATCCTCTGCCCATTTTTTAATTGGGTTGTTTGGCTTTTTGATGTTGAGTTGTATGAGTTCTTTGTATGTTTTAGATATTAACCTCTTATCAAATATATTGTTTGCAAATACCTTCTCCCATTCAGTAGGCTGCCTTTTCATTTTGTTGATAATTTCCTTCGTTGTGCAAAAGCTTTTAAGTTTGATTAGGTCCCATTTGTTTATTTTTTCTTTGTTTCTCTTGCCTGAGGAGACATATCCCAAAAAATATTTCTAAGACTTATGTCAAAGAGCATACTGCCGATGTTTCCTTCTAGAAGTTTTATGGCTTCGGGCCTTACATTTAAGTCTTTAATCCGTTTTGAATTTATTTTTCAATATGGTGTGAGAGGGTGGTCCAGTTTGATTATTTTGCTGGTAGCTGTCCAGTTTCCCCAATACCACTTATTGAAGAGGCTATTTCTCCAGGTTCTAAAGATGCTTTCATTCATATCCATCATACCTACATTGAACATACATACATTGAACAAATACACTGAACAAATGTAATAACTGCTTTTTACTGGTATTAGGTCATCTAATACCAGTCCATTTTCAAATTTCCCCAGTTATCCCCCAAATGTCTGAAAAGCAGTTTTTTTGGATTTTTTTGTTTGTTTGTTTTTTCAGAACCAGAATCCAGTCAAGCATTTGATTGTGTGGGTTTCTTTTTTAAATTAAAAAAAAGTTACAACAATCACCACGAGACTCTTTGTTATGATATCACTTTTCCTTAATCTTTATATCTTATCTTCTGTAAAACCAGTTGTCTTATAGAATGTCTCACATTTTTTATTTACTTGATTGTCTCCTTGGGGGTGTTGTTTATCTGGTTCCTCCAGTCCCTGTGACACCTTACGTTTCTGTAGCTGTTTAGTTTATCAAACACGTTCGTATGCATTTAATCACAACAGAATCGCTATAAGGCTTTATTCCTATTTAACAGAAACGAATACTGAGGCTTGGAGTGCTTAAATGACTTTTCCAAAGCCAGAGAGCCAGTAAGCAGCAAAGGCAGGACTCAAGCATAAAGGGATGCACTTTAGTTGAGTTAAAACAACAACAATTAATCCCAAATAGCCTGCATCTAACTGCAGATTTTCAAAGTGCATTCTCTCTCCAGAATTCAATAGATATTTCTTTTCTTTTAAAAACGTTTTCAGAAAAAGGACCTGTTGTTGTTGTTTGTTTTGTTTTGTTTTTGCGGTACGCGGGCCTCTCACTGTTGTGGCCTCTCCCGTTGCGGAGCACAGGCTCCGGACGCGCAGGCTCAGCGGCCATGGCTTACGGGCCCAGGCGCTCTGCGGCATGTGGGATCTTCCCAGACCGGGGCACGAACCCGTGTCCGCTGCATCGGCAGGCGGACTCTCAACTACTGCACCACCGGGGAAGCCCAGAAAAAGGATCTTTTAAGAAATATTTTATTTTCCTGATACCGTGAAGCACATTGCTAAGAAAAAGGAATTTGTTTTACAACGTCTAACAGCTATTTCTCTTGTCCAGCAAAACTAGCAAAATGTAAGATACCAGGTTCCTCCCAAAGCTACGTTTGTAACAACAGTTCACAACGTCTAAATGTTAAATGAGTTACTGAATTTATGACTTTCATAAATGTGTAAACAAAGTCAATTTATCTAAAAATAACTATTTTCTGTGCAAAGTTAAGCATACGCATGTGCGCTTATGATGCTAAAACCAACAAGGGCCTTTAGGACTGTTAGAGACGCCGTTCGGAACTACACGTAAAGTCAGGTCTTCTCCAGTCTCTTTTCTCCTCACAGCTGGGTCAGAAACTTGTGGAACAGAATCAGGAGAAGCTTATAACAGTCTACAATCAAGAGATAAGGGGTGTGGTGCGACGATGAGCAAACCAGGCAAAGGAATTAGGATGGTGGATTCAGGAGGAAACTGGGGAAGACATTTCTGGGCTCCCCAGGAATTCAGGCCTCCAGCTTGGAGCCAGCTGCTAGAAAGGGGCCCTAGAAGGGAGAGACATAGGCAGGGGCTGACTACTGAGAAACACTCTTCTCAACAAGAAACTATGGAAATCTTAACTCAGAGAGAGGGATTCCCAACACTGCCCATACATCAAAAAACGTTTTTAAGAAGCTGACTCGCTTCCGCCTCTCGCAAACTTCCACAAAGGTGGAAGCACGCCCCGCAAGTGCCCTTCCCTGGTTTTATTGGCTGCCCTGGCCTGCCCCTTTCTTAATCTGTTTCTTTCATTGGTTAGCATTGATATGCTCCTGCTTTCACAGACAATTCCCGGAACCAATCATCTCCAATCACCGCTCCGTCTTTCCGCCGACTTGTGAGTGGCATCCATTCCAACCAATAAAAAATGAAAGTGAGGCTGTGGAGCCTACACTCCTCCCCTTTCTCCTCAACTCTTTCTGCAAATGGTAGAAAAGGTTGAGCAGCTGATACGAACCACCAATCCGTAAGGGCGGAAGAGGGGCGAGGAGAAAAGTGATGGGAGGGGGTGACGTGGCGGTGACGGAGGCATAAACTAAAATGAGTGGCAGAAATACTAGCCAATCGACAATCAACTGGCTGGGTAGTCTGCATTCTAGAGTCCTCCCTGAGCGCCGGAGACTTCGGGAAAGCACCAATGAGCTTTTCATGAGTCTGATTGACCTTCACCTGCACCAATCAACGGCGTGCCTGGCGGAAGCGTCCCACCACGGGCTCTCACTGGGCGCTGGTGGAATGACAGGCCCAAGAGAAATGCCAATGTCCGAGGGGTCTTCCGCAAGTGACACTCAGCATCACCAATCGACTTCCTCCTTCCCGGCGGCAGAGCCCTCCTCCCCGCGGCCGGCCTGGCTGGGCGGGGACGCTGCGCGGCGGCGGCTGATGCGCTAGCTGAGTGGGGCCCTCCGGGCGGCGACGGCGGGTCTCGTAGGCGGTTCCGGTCCTGTATCTCCGGGCGGCGGCGGCGGCTCATGGCGGCGACGGAGCTGAGAGGAGTAGTGGGCCCGGGCCCGGCAGCCATTGCGGCCCCGGGCGGCGGCGGCGGCGGCGTCGGTCCCCCCATGGTGGGAGGAGGCGGCGCCGGCGGCCGCGGAGACTCGGGGCCGAGCTCCGGGATCGCCCCGGGCACGGTGGCCGCGGTGGCTGCGGGCGGCCCGGGCCCCGGGGCCGGGGGAGTGGCGGCGGCGGGCTCGGCTCCTGCGCCGCCGGCGGGGGGCTCGGGCGCTGGGGGTTCGGGCTCGGCTCGCGAGGGCTGGCTCTTCAAATGGACCAATTATATCAAAGGCTACCAGCGGCGGTGGTTCGTGCTGAGCAACGGGCTCCTGAGCTACTACAGGTAACTGCTTCCGGGGCGCCGTCCCCCACTGCAGCCCACAGCCCCTGTGCCGTTACCCTCTTCAGCCCGCGCAGCAGCCAAGGTCGCCCCAGGCCCGTTTTCCTGACTTGCGCTCTTTGACAGCCCGCGACACGAGTCCACCATCACGAAGGTGAACGCCCCAGGACTTACCGCTCCACCTGGGTGATCCACCCTTGGTGCCATACCTTCCTCTCGGTCCTGGCCCTTCCAGTTGTTCGGAGAGCATCTACTCTTCCATTGTGTTTCCAACAGCGCATCGGTGCAGTGATTAATTCTGCAAGGAAGGCGCTGTTGTAGGTGTTTAAGGGACACATATGGGAGGGCAAAGTCCAGGCACCGCTCGCAAGGAACTTACTGTAAAAAGTCCCAAGGCTTAGCTCTCTGTGCCTAGTCTCCAGAATTCAAGGTTATTAGCAGCCCTTGATGTACCCGCCTTTGCTCTCTCCACATTCAGGCACAAGGACACCACGCGTAGGGTGGCCTCGGTATCTGTCCCCTCTCTTTATCTCTCCAAGATTTGCCTAGGCTTTCGCCTTCTGGACAGACCAGAATGGAGAAGTGCACTCCAGTGTTTCTTTTTGCCTGCCCCACGTCCTCCCGTGGGAATCATTAAGTGTTCCATCCAGTATTTTTGGGATCTCTCTGGTCAGTGAGGTTTAAGTTTCATTAAGAGAAGAGTCCATGTCTTTTGTATGACTACTTCTGTTCAAAAATGCTTGTTTTGGGACGTTCAATATATTTTTACGGTGACCCACAATCTTCCCACAACATAACATGCTTTTGGCTATTCATGTTACTATAGATAGAGAGGTTAGGACACTGGATTTGGAGACAGGACATAAACATTTCCTGAGTGCTGTGGACAGTTTGGATGGGTGTTTAACATACGGTATTCTTTGACTCCCCCAAACAATCTGGAAGTTAGGAGATATTCCCATCTTACCAATGAGGAAACGGAGACTTAGCTTGGGCAACTTTCCCAAGGTCTTGAGTCAGGATTTGAAACTAATTCTTTTCACACCAACACAACCTAAAACCCAGGTTAGTGTTACATGGATCAGTCAGATATAGAGAGAACTACTTATCCATAGCTAGTACATTTATAGATCATGATACTATGTATATTTTATACAAAATGTATAGAAGTTCCCTTTAAGGGAGATTTTGCTTAATATAATGGTATTTCTAAGTGAAATCTTTTTATAAAGACCATTCTATTTGGGCCCCAAAACAGTGTTGTTAAGAACGGCTCACTCTATATTTCTTTTCCTCTGCCAGTAGTCACTTTGCCACCAGGAGGGTTTGGGTGAACGACTCTCTTTTCCACCAACTCCATTGTATTGGCTCTTAAAGAATTTTGAGAGGAAATTGAAGATGGGAGTTGGATTGATGGAGAATAAACAGTTTCTAAAAAAAAAAAAAAAATGATGGGAGTTGGAGGTTGTTGAAGTAGGAACACAGGCTTATCTGGTCTCTAACGGTGGAAAATACCTTAGCACATCCTCACTGCTTAAGCCACATTAATTGTGAACACTTGTGTATTACGTTTCTTTTTTTTTTTACGATCTTTATTGGAGTATAATTGCTTTACAATGTTGTGTTAGTTTCTGCTGTATAACAAAGTGAATCAGCTATACGTATACAAATATCCCCATATCCCCTCCCTCTTGCATCTCCCTCCCACCCCTCTAGGTGGTCACAAAGCACCGAGCTGATCTCCCTGTGCTATGCAGCTGCTTCCCACTAGCTATCTGTTTTACATTTGGTGGTCTATATATGTCAGTGCTACTTTCTCACTTCGTCCCAGCTTACTCTTCCCCCTCCCTGTGTCAAGTCCATTCTCTATGTCTGCGTCTTTATTCCTGTCCTCCCGCTAAGTTCACCAGAACAATTTTTTTTAGATTCCATATATATGTGTTGGCACAGGGTATTTGTTTTTCTCTTTCTTACTTCACTCTGGATGACAGTCTCTAGGTCCATCCACCTCACTACAAATAGCTCAATTTCGTTTATTTTTATAGCTAATATTCCATTGTATATATGTGCCACATCTTCTTTATCCATTTATCTGTCGATGGACACTAAGGTTGCTTCCGCGTCCTGGCTGTTATAAATAGTGCTGCAGTGAACATTGTGGTACATGACTCTTTTTGAATTATGGTTTTCTCAGCGTATATGCCCAGTAGTGGGATTGCTGGGTCGTATGGTAGTTCTATTTTTAGTTTTTTAAGGAACCTCCATACTGTTCTCCATGGTGGCTATATCAATTTACATTCCCACCAACAGTGCAAGAGTGTTCCCTTTTCTCCACACCCTCTCCAGCATTTATTGTTTGTAGATTTTTTGACGATGGCCATTCTGACTGCTCTGAGGTGATACCGCATTGTGGTTTTTTTGTTTTTGTTTTTGCGGTATGCGGGCTTCTCACTGTTGTGGCCTCTCCTGTTGCGGAGCACAGGCTCCGGACGCGCAGGCTCAGCGGCCATGGCTCACGGGCCCAGCCGCTCCGCGGCATGTGGGATCTTCCTGGAGCGGGGCACGAACCCGTGTCCCCTGCATCGGCAGGCGGACTCTCAACCACTGCGCCACCAGGGAAGCCCCCTCACTGTGGTTTTGATATGCATTTCTCTAATGATTAGTGATGTTGAGCATCCTTTCATGTGTTTGTTGGTCATCTGTATGCCTTCTTTGGAGAAATGTCTGTTTAGGTCTTCCGCCCATTTTTGGATTGCACTGTTTGTTTTTTTGATATTGAGCTACATGAGCTGCTTGTATATTTTGGGGATTAATCCTTTGTCAGTTGCTTCGTTTGCAAATATTTTCTCCCATTCTGAGGGTTGTTTTTTTGCCTTGTTTATGGTTTCCTTTGCTGTGCAAAAGCTTTTAAGTTGCATTAGGTCCCATTTGTTTATTTTTGTTTTTATTTCCATTTCTCTAGGAGGTGGGTCAAAAAGGATCTTGTTGTGATGTATGTCGTACAGTGTTCTGCCAATGTTTTCCTGTAAGAGTTTTATAGTGTCTGGCCTTACATTTAGGTCTTTAATCCATTTTGAGTTTATTTTTGTGTATGGTGTTAGGGAGTGTTCTAATTTCATTCTTTTACATGTAGCTGTCCAGTTTTCCCAGCACCACTTATTGAAGAGGCTGTCCTTTCTCCATTGTATATTCTTGTCTCCTTTATCAAAGATAAGGTGACCATATGTGTGTGGATTTACCTCTGGGCTTTCGATCCTGTTCCATTGATCTGTATTTCTGTTTTTGTGCCAGTACCATACTGTCTTTATCACTGTAGCTCCATAGTATAGTCTGAAGTCAGGGAGCCTGATTCCTCCAGCTCTGTTTTTCTTTCTCAGGATTGCTTTGGCTTATGTATATCATTTGCATTATTATATTCAGAGTTGATTTTCATTTTAACCCTTTCTAATTACTCATCCAGGACTATCAGTTTAAGGTTAAATCACAAATCTAAAATTTTAGTCTGCTCCAAAGTTTTTCCCCTACTCAAGTTCATGTTTTCCTGTTACACTGGCCATCATTCTAATGTTCAATTGATTCATGTCCTAACTTGGCTTGTAAGTCACTGTTAACACTGATTCCCCATTTTCAAAAGTTGTGTATCAGCTGAAGGCCTTAATGTGTGGTCATTTTTCCTCATCCAAGTTCCTAATCAAATCTACTTTCTAGCCCAGTTGAGTCTTTGATCAGTACCAGTCTTGATCAGTATTGATCTTGGTTGGACAGTAATAACCTATATGTTGCTATCTTTTAAGTACTTGTAACCCCTTTTCACTTCTCTCTTACAGTAGCTAGTGGTACCTGTCTGACTACAGCTAAAACTACTTCCAAAACATATCAAACCACATATTGGGAAATATACCACGGGCCTGTCCTTGCCAGCTGAGATGGTTCCACCCACACACCAACCAAGCAACAGGATCCAAAGTTATCAAATCTACGCACTACCCTCAAAATCACATTGAAGTACTTCCTATCAACGAATTGGTAGTTTATTCTTTCGAACAGGTTCTTTGGGTCCCCATCTCCTTATTTAGCCAACTCGTCTTTCCTCCTGCTTTTCATGCCTCCAAAACCAATCGTATCTTGTATATGCCTTTTACAAAATACTGTTTTCTTTTTAGCTGAGTACTTCCTAGACCCATGCTCTGATGAACTGTCCTAATAGGCTTTGGCAAGCCTTCTTTTTACCTATCCTTTTCTTCCTCACAAAGTTACACAGATCTCCGGTTACTTAAAACCATATGTAGAACCCCAGCTCTCCTAGACACATCATGACAAGCTCATAGTATTAGTTTTCCTGGCTAGCCTCTAGAGACTGAGTTACTATTTCGGCTGGCCTTTTCAGGGAAGACCTTACTAACCAGAAAATACCACCTAATACTGAGGTGCCTAAAGAACTTATCTTGCACTCTGAAAAGCATGTCTTTCTCGCTTCTGCACTCACCATTTATAAGCATAGATGTACCTGCTTGAACCCAAGAGCTCTGAAGTTAAGCCCGCCCTACTTCCAGAGTTCTTTGGTATTTTAAAAACTGCTACAGACGTTATGTGATTTGAGAAACTTCTTTAGTTCATGAAGATGACCCAAGCAGAAGAGATTCCTAGGAAGTGGCTTGTGGAATATACCAACATGTTGTGAGGAGTGTGGTAGACGGTCCAAGCAACACCTTTGGAGTAGAAAGCAAGGGTGAGCTGGCCTGTCAGCTGCGGGTCTGTAATTCAGCCTGCATTATTCATAATGTAACTGAAGCTTGGGGGCAGGGGAGGGGAGGTAAGAATAGAAAAACCAGGGATTCACGTTACAGTGTGGCAGGTGCGGGCGCGATGGAAGATGGCCTGGTTTATTGAGGATCCGTACCCCCCTCCCCCCGCCCCGGCCATCCCATACTGCTCATTTGTGCATCTGAGGAAGAAAAACCAGTTTCATGGGACAAACCGAACGATAGCAAATCTGTCTTCCTAAACACAGCACACAGACTTTCTCAAAGCCACCAAATCTTAGTTTCCAGAGATGGAGTGTGTGTCATCTCTGGCATGCAGGAATTCTGGACGTGCCAGGTATGTTTGGCCGCTTGGCACTCGTGAAAGAGAAACGGCTCTGCTTTGCACTGTGGCAGTTGGCAAAGGACTTTGACCTCTTTACGTTCCAAGTTGGTCAGGGAAAAACTGCAGTCTCAACATGCAGGTCCCTGGGCATAATCAGCGGGTGGGGGAAATTAGCACAGTTTGCCCTGTACTCTCAGTTGTGCTAGCAGCTTGATCTTTTATGCCAGGTCTCTTGTAGCTTGTTGTCACCAACCAGTGCTGTAAAGTTCAAAAGTTAGTCTATTAATAGAACTGTCAGTCAGTAGAAATGGGGAAAATTTTTATACCCAGTCCTCTGAGAACAGATTTGCTGAATCTCTCCTAGCTATTAATAGGATGGCTTAGGAGTTCCCACCAATAGAGGTCAGTGGACCTTAGGAAAGAATATATTCCAGAAAGATTATACCACCTGGTGATTCTTTAATGATTATTCTTTCTTTACTCCCACAGAAAGCTAGTTACTCCTATTTCATGTCATTTGAGCTGTAGTCAGTATTTAATATTCTAAACGTCTAAGGGTGCCTTACACTTCTGCAAGATAGTTGTTAAGAGCAGTATGAGAATTTCACTTGGGCTGAGTTACAGTTGGGGGAATGGGTTGTTCAGTACATGTAAAATGGAGCTATTCTTTCTCTTAGAGAATAAGATTATTTTACAGAATTTTGTTGCATGAGTTTATAAAGCACTATTTCGTAATTATGTCTTGCTAAGTAAAAGGTAATTCCTGACTGCAAAAGGGCATGAGGGAACTTTCTGGGGTGATGGAAATGTTCTACATCTTGATTGTGGAGGTGGTAGCACAATTGTATACATTTGTCAAAACTCACTAAATTGTACTCTTAAAATTGTTGGGTTAATACCGTATGTAGTTATCCGTCAGTGAAGCCTATTTTTTAAAAGCTAAGGGTGAGAGGGACAGCAGAGCAATAAAAGCTTACAGGCTCTGAAAGGAAATCCCTACTGATTGTTTTTTGAATTTTAGGGAGCCATTTGAGGGAAATATTAGAACTTCCTAGTTCCTAAGACTGCTGTATTTTCGAAAGGCTTAGAGTTATGAAATGGAATGTGATGAAGGATAAACCACGCATCAACTTTCTACTTAGCTTGTCTTTGGCTTGTTATTGCAGGTCAAAGGCAGAAATGAGACATACCTGCCGTGGTACCATCAACCTCGCCACAGCCAACATCACAGTGGAGGACTCCTGCAACTTCATCATTTCCAATGGGGGTGCTCAGACCTACCATCTGAAGGCGAGCTCAGAAGTAGAGCGGCAGCGCTGGGTCACAGCCCTAGAACTGGCCAAGGCCAAGGCTGTGAAGATGCTGGCAGAATCAGGTAGGGAGCAAAGAATATTGTGTCTGGGGAACATTCTGTTTGCCCCTCTTATGCACGAATCTTATTTTGTCCCTCACTGTCATTGTCATTTAATTAGCAGCTATCTCCTGGATGTCTCAGGCTTCTGCTCACCAGGCAGAATTTCTCCTGGAGTGCTGGTTTTCAGCTGGGGGCAATTCTGCCCCAAAGGGGACATTTGGCGAAGGCTGAGCATTGGTGGTGCTAATGGCATCTAGGGAGTAGAGGCCAGAGATGCTGCTAAACCTCCTGCCAATGCACAGGGCAGCCCCACAGCAGAGAGGTAGCTGGCCCAAAATGCCAGAGTTGTTCAGATTGGGAAACTCTGTCTTAGGAGCATATCAGTTATCCTTTTGGCTCTTAATGCCAACTGACTACCTTAAAATTTTGAGAAATAATTATTTTATTGATAGATCAGTCAGGATTATTACAACTCACACTTTGGATCTGTCCTTACTTTTTTCTTTTCTCCTGACATCTTCTTACTTAACTCTTTTCTGGTTGAATTGAAACCGACAGTCTTCGTAGATGGCCAGAAACATTGTATGTGAAACCCCCTGGCAGTGGACAAAGAGACACCTGATGGGTGGTGCTGCTCTTATATCAGTCTGGGCAGAGGAGTGCCCAGCCCTTTGTTCAACCCAGCTTGGTGCCTGGGCTGGTGGCCAGAGCTGTTTCATGCTTGAGGCACATTAAAAAAATAATAATTATATGTGATATTTTCTGTGAAAAATCTTTATTTTGCTGCCATAGTCTCACTAAAAAGAACAATCTAATTATGTTTTGATTTTTCTTAAAGGAAAATGGTAGGATTTCCCTGCAGTTGTTGATAGTTTAGTCATTCTGAGCTTGTTCACTTAGAGCTGACCAAGATGCTCACCTGCTAACTTTTGTTCATCTCTTGTGTTTCTTATCCCTTGTTCTTTACCGTGCTGTGTTTAATATCTCTTAAGCAATGAAAGGAAAGTTTACTGCTTTGTAAATTTCCGGGTAACAGGTTATATTTTGACTTTGGCCCTGCCTGTTTGCCTAACAGATAGGGCAGGTCCTTCCTTGTTTCTTTTGTTTTGATTTTAGTGCTGATTTTAGCTCCCCCAAAGGAAGTGACATTGCTGGAAAAGAACTTTGCAGTTACAAGGTGTTAAGGACAAAAGTGATAGCAAGAGGCACAACACAGCTCTCTGCTTGACTTATTATTTGAAAGTCATTTAACAGAAGACCGTGCACAGCTTTCAGTGCAGGGGTGGCTTTAGTGTCAGATGAGCTCATCCTGAAGTTCCTGAGTTCTCCTTTAGGAAAGATAAGTTAGTGAGTCTTCTGATCATGTGGACATGGTTTACAGAGAGCATCCAGGCTGCAGTTCTCAACCCATGTTGTGCAGGCCCACCGACCACCCAACAGATAGTGGATTTGCACCAATAATCAGTGTGACTGGATTGGGACCCTCAAGCTAGGGTTAAAAGGCTCAATATTCATTCCCAGCCCCAAGAGCCATATAGCTTCTCCATCCTGTCCTCTGGGTCACTGGTTCGCAAACCTCAGTGTGCATCAGAGTTACCCAGACAGCTTATTCGAAATACAGATTCCTGGACCTTGCCTCACACCAGCCAAATCAAGGTTTTTCTGGGGGTGGGGCCAGAGACTGCACCTTTAAGAAGAACCCCAGGGTTGGGACATGAGGGGATGGAGGAGGGTGGTCAAAAAGTACAAGCTTCCAGAGACTTCTCTGGTGGCGCAGTGGTTAAGAATCCGCCTGCCAATGAAGGGGACACGGGTTCAATCCCTGGTCCAGGAAGATCCCACGTGCCGCGGAGCAACTAAGCCTGTGCTCCACAACTACCGAGCCCACGTGCTGCAACTACTGAAGCCTGTGCGCCTAGAGCCTGTGCTCTGCAACAAGGGAAGCCACCGCAACGAGAAGCCCACGCACCGCAACGAAGAGTAGCCCCCGCTCGCCGCAACTAGAGAGAGCCCACTCACAGCAACGAAGACCCAACACAGCCAAAAAAAAAAAAAAAACAGATTAAAAAAGAAAGGTACAAGCTTCCAGTTATAAGATAAATAAGGCCTGGGGATGAAAATACAACATGATGACTGTAGTTAACACTGCCGTTTGGTGTATTTGAAAGTTGTTAAGAGAGTAGATCCTAAAAGTCTCATCACAAGGGAAAAACACCCTTCTTTTTGTATCTATATGAGATGATGGAGGTTAACTTATTTTAACCATTTCACAATATATGTAAGGTGTATATGCTGTACACCTTAAACTTGTAGCAGTGCTATATGTCAATTATACGTCAATAAAACTAGAAGGAAAAAAAGCGTGAGCAGAAAAATTGCTTATTGTGGTCTGCCCCAGGAAAAAAAAAGTAGTAGTACCCCAGCTGTTTGTGACACAGGTGGGCTGTGGACCACCTGTAGGCGAATCGTCTGGCAATGGTGAGCTCTCGGTCGGTCAGAACGCACAGCCTGAGGAGTGTCAGTTTGGTTGTGGGCAGAGTGGGTAGGGTTCCGACTCTCAGCCCTGGGCTTGGAGTCCTATCACTCACCTTTCCGCCCGTACAGATGAGTCAGGAGATGAAGAGTCCGTCTCACAAACCGACAAGACCGAGCTGCAGAACACCCTGCGGACCCTGTCCAGCAAAGTGGAGGACCTGAGCACATGCAACGACCTGATCGCCAAGCACGGCACGGCACTGCAGCGCTCGCTCAGCGAGCTGGAGTCCCTGCGGCTGCCGGCCGAGAGCAACGAGAAGATCAAACAGGTCAACGAGCGGGCCACGCTCTTCAGGATAACGTCCAACGCCATGATCAACGTAAGCGCGCACATGTCTGCCTTGCTTTTTGCTTCTTTCCCTCTTTGAAATGTAATTCTCCCCAAATGCTGGAAAATTGTAGTTGGTAAAGCATAGGACGTTAGGTCCTGCTTAATCGTTCAAGGGATTTGAGTTACATTTTTTTTGTTGCATGAAATGGAACAGGGTGCACAGATGGAATGACATTCCCGCTCTGCTTGAATGGTCAGGAGGACACTGCTCCAGCCCTGCGTCTGCCACCAGCAGGGCATCTGATGGTGATGTTAGTTGAGTCCCTTCACCTCTCTGGGTTGTGGTTCTATCTGTCTATCTATCAGATATCTATCTATCTATCTGTTTTTCTCTAACTTTATCTATTGGAACTGAAAGGTCTTCATGGGCCCTTTCCACTTCCACGTTCTTTGAGATTTTGGTTGGAGTCTGACCCCTACTTTGGTAACGCACCCTGGCCTACAGTGTGGTAAGTGGGAGCTGGATTAAGTACTAGTGAGAACCTTGTAATCCTGGTTAGTCCCATCTTGAGTCTTGGATTTGAGGGGTAATTCTGGGTAAGACAAAATATTCAACCTTGGGTACTTTTCTTTTCAAAAGAAGGGGCCAGTGCTTCTGCCTCCTTATGACTCCTAGCTCGGGTGCTGTCGTTGCTTTAGGGAATACTTTGGCTGCTTGGGTGCAGGGCTCCAGGTAAACCCAACGTGCCACTGACGTTGGTGACGTGTGTCCGATACTGGGTGATAGGTATGGAGTGAGTGCACAGTTTAAATAGCGCCCTTCTTCCTCTGCTGGCGACTGATCCTCACCCGGCAGGTTCGTCAGCTTCCGCATAGGAACACGAGAGGATGCTTCATACGGCACGTGAGAACACTGCTCTTTCAGGAGGGGCTTGTGCAGGTGTTTTTGTTTTCCTATCTAATCAAATGGGATGAACTTACTCACTAGGGTCAGATTTTTCCTTGTTGGAGGAGTGATAATAAGGCATCTGCTTAGAATTAGTTGTGTCCACGTGGCTCTTAGAGATAGAAGGTCTTTTCCTATGACCAAGGGAAAATTTGTTTTTTTGCACTTAAACCCCTTTGTTTCTTAATAGAAAGTTGTAGTAACTTTTACTTTCGTGTCATTTTCTGAAGCGCTGAACACTCTCTTCAGTGTTCCGACTCCCATGAAGTAGAGGAGAGAAATTATTTTGTCCCCTTAAGGACTGCAGGCAGATCAGTGTCTCCCAGCACCATTCTGCAGACCAGCACTGGCGCTTGTGTTTCTGATGTTGGGTCGTGTGCTCTCTTTCCAAACTCTCGTACTTCTTGGTGCCTGTGTGCCTGTTTTTCTGGTCCTCCTGTGATCAGGAAGACCTCATAAATCATACAGGTCATTTAATCAGTAGTAAATAAATATACTTTTGAAATAGAACAGCTCAGGACACAACCATCTGTTAACCTTTTATCCATGTCAGGTGAACGCCCTGCTCCATGACAATTTTTTTCCTACTCTGATAGGAAAAATTTGCTAAATAAAACACCTCTTGATTTAAAAATGTCTCATAAAACTGGAACTTTATTTTGGACTTTTCTCTTGAAAATATGCTTATCTTCATTCCTGGCGACAGTTCTTTTTCCCTGAGTTCTAGGTATCCAGAGTTTGTGTCAGTTCTCATTCTGTTCTCCCTGGGTGCACTGTCTTTGCCCCTTTTATAGCCAGTTACTGCAGGAAATGCATTTTTTAGCCCTGTGTTATTTCCTTTGTACCTTTTAGGGGATGATGGCAAGGCCTTAAAACTGACATGCTAGCACATCACATCTCTAAACAGGCAGTGTTATAGCAAAGGAAGAATGCACTCATTTCACTTAGTTGCTTGCTTGCTTAGGATATAGCTTTTCTTATTATCAGAGTGAGTCTAAGCAGGGGAGCGCATTTGACACTGTCAGTGTGTGCATTTGCTAATGCAGTGAACACCTATTGAGCACCTTCTGTGTTCTAGGCACTGTGCTGGGGATGTAAAACTAATATGGCTGTGGTCCCTGCCCTCAGGGAGATTACTGTCCAGTGAGGGGCCAGAGAAGTGAACAGATCATTATGGAGTGTGCTGCGTGCCAGGAGAGATGAGCACAGGCTGCTGTGCTGTAGTACCGTGGGATTGTCTAGCTCAGACCAGGAGGATCTGAGAAGGTAACCCCCCAGATAAATTCTGAAAGACCCGAGAGAGTCTTCTTATGAAAAAAAGGCAACAAAGAGTTTGGGGTCCTGAAGTCCAACTGCCCCAGTTCCCATCTCTGTGACCTGGGGCACCCTAGTCCCTCGGTGACCCCAGTTCCTTTTCTGTAAATGGTGATGATCCTAGTAGCTGCTCTCGGTGTGGAGAGGCTTTTCTTAGATAATGGATGTCGAGTGTTCAGTAAAGTGCCTGGCATATAATCTTCTCTCACTAACTTTGAGTTGTGACCCCTGTTCTTCAAAGGAAGTGAGGGAAGAGAGTTGATCCAGGTGTGGTGTGTGTGGATCCCTCCCTCTCTCCCAAAGTCTGGGAACCACTTGCAGTTGACTGTTACCCAAGCAAGGAAGTAGCTAGAGATAAGGCTGAAGAGGAGTTAAGTATGGGGGGTGGGGGGCTGTGTGCAGATCCTACTAAATGGGCTTGGTAGTAGTGGATTAGAAGAGGATAAGACCGATTTTGATGCAGGCTTAACTGTTAATAGATAACACCTTATTGAATGATTACTGTGAGCCTGGTCTAAGTGCTTTACATGTTAAGCAACAACTTTTGAGATAGCTACTGTTGTCATTCTTTGTTTACAGATGAGGAAGATGAGTAACTTGCTAAAAATTCCATAGTTAGATAGTAGGATGGAGCTGTGACAATTCCAGAGTATGTCCTCTATACTGCTTCTGAGTGTGGAGGAACAAAAGAAATGTACAGAGTCCAGAAATATCGAAGAAAAATCAGTAGGATTTGATCATTGGATGTGGGGAGGGAAGAAAACTAAGAATCAAGGATCCCTCTTAGTTTTCTGGCTTGGGCAGGTGGAAGGGTCCTGGAACTGTTCTTGGGATGGAGATGCAGAGTCAGAAACGGAACATGGTGAGTTCATATGGGACCCACTGATTCTGAGATTACTTTGAGCCATTGAGTAGGCAATTGGATAGTCTGGTCTGCAGCTCCCTGAGCGCAGAGCTGGAATTATGATTTAGTAGGCATCAGCCCATAGGCAAAGGTTGAAACCATGGGAGTAGATGTTCTATTTACCTATTAGTTTCTCTTTAACAGGGTATAGACTTTTAAGCTTACATTGCTCCCTTCCTTCATTTATTTATTAAGCAAACTGTATCAGGCTCCCACTATGTACAAAGCAGCTCAGTTAGGAGCTGGAGATAAGTATGTGAATAAGCTATAAATGGTGTCTTCAAGTGGCTCATAATCCATCTGGAGAGAAAGTCACGATACTGCTGTGGATGGTGTAAAATAGAAATATGTGCAAAGTGCTGTGGAAAGTAGAGTAGAGACTGGCTACTTACGAGATGGGGGTTGGGGGGGGGTGTCACAGAAGAGGTAACACTTGCCATAGATCTTAAAGAATGAAGAGGACTTGGCCAAGCAGAGAAAGGGGATAGGAAGGCATTCTAGGCCAAGCAAATAGCACGTGCTCCGATGGGCAGGCCTGAAAGAAATCTGCATGTCTGAGAAAGGGTGAGCAGTTCAGGGTGGCTCCATGGCAGGGTGCAGGGGTGGGTCCAGCTACCTGGACAGGAGGATACAAGGGCCATTTATGTCCATGACCAGTAGTTAGGATTTGGTCCTAATGTCGATGGGGAGCCAGTGAAGGGACTAATATGGTCAGGTTTGTGTTTTGTCTCTAGATTCCTTCTTCGATTCATCAGGTAGGCTTCTAATTTTTAAGATCAGTTATTATCTTAGTGACCAAAATAAAAACCAATTAAATTTCCCCATATTTGGTTTAATTCACTGCAGACTCTCTGTTCTCAGTTTCTGAATTCCTCAGTTTTAGGTGACTTGAGTTTAGTTGAGAATGTATTGAAAGCAATACATGCTTATCCCATGCTTTTCCTCACCTTTTAGTCAATAGGTTTCTTCTTTGGAGCAGTTCACATAGCTGCCCTTTGTGATGTTGCACAAATACTTTGTCTAGGTTTGTTGCTCACTTGGCATTTGTTGTTTGGTCCTCATGACCAGGAAAATATGAAAGAACTATGACAACCACATTCAATATTTTTTTCTGGAATTGACCTTGACTGTGTCATGGAGCTGGCTGTCCCTGATACTGTGGAATAACAGGGAAGGCCTTTCATTGTAACTTGCTAGTTCAGGTTCCCAGAATAAGGTTACTTACTGGGCTTACAGAGGCCTGAGGGGAATCTCTGACTAGCTGAGTTGAGGTGACCTATATCGACTCTTTCTCCATACAGGCCTGCAGAGATTTCCTTGTGTTAGCCCAGACCCACAGTAAAAAGTGGCAGAAGTCCCTGCAGTACGAAAGGGACCAGCGTATCCGCCTGGAAGAGACCCTGGAGCAGCTGGCAAAGCAGCACAATCACCTGGAGAGAGCCTTCCGAGGAGCCACGGTGCTGCCGGCAAACGCTCCTGGCGGCGCTGCTTCTGGCAAAGGTGAGCTGCTGGCTTGGCTCTTGGACGGCCTGTCTGATCCCAGCCACATGCTTTTCTGCAGCTGATAGAGAGAGCTCCAGATTCTCCAGAATCAGCGACTCATGTGAGATGGAATTCGAGCCCTTTATTCTTCTGACTTCCCCATTGCTTTCTACCATTTGTTACTAGGTTTGTGGTTAATATTTGAAAGCTCCAGCTGTGCCAGGTTTTGGTAAATGCAGCCCAAGGAAACAAATGCGGCTTTCCTCCTTGTAGGTCAGTGCTGCTCCGGCAAAGGAGACGTGAGTGATGAGGATGACGAGAATGAGTTCTTTGATGCTCCTGAGATCATCACCATGCCTGAAAATTTGGGCCACAAGTAAGTCATTCTTGATTCCCACCCCGCGCAAAATGAGCATATCTGGCCATGGAAAGGTTAGAAATGTTTCAGTGGAAGTGTCATAGTTGTTTACTAAGATATGGACTCTTTTCCTTACGTAAGTGGAAGACTGTCAGCTTTTTCACATGAACAAGTTCTCCAGAGATGTCTATTCATACGTACTGCTTTCTAAGTGTCGTCGTTTGATCACTCATCAATAAGTTTGTGCCGTGTCCTTAGCATTCTGCTTTGTAAAGACATGGTGAGGACCAAACTCTAGTTCTGATCTTTATGGTAATTCTCATACGCTTCCCATCTGTGTAGACGTACTGGCAGCAACATCAGTGGAGCCAGCAGTGACATCAGCCTTGATGAACAGGTAACTCTTATTTGGGAATTACCAAGATTGGGAGACTTGGGTGTCATTCCCAAGGATTTGCTTATAAAGCACTAAGAGAAACAGAAAGTACTGGTTTTTTTGTTTTTTGTTTTTTAGCATGGGGGAAGGGAAGCTTATAAATACTGGGTTTTCTGTTCTTTGTGAGTGATTGAATGGCCTTGTTTTTGCGCTTAGTACAAGCATCAGCTGGAAGAGACCAAGAAGGAAAAGAGAACGAGGATACCATACAAGCCAAACTATAGCCTCAATTTGTGGAGCATCATGAAGAACTGCATCGGAAAAGAACTCTCCAAGATCCCCATGCCGGTGAGGGTCTTGCACAGCCAGGCTCTGCCCGGAAGGCCTCGCAGGCCCCGGCCAGAGGAGTGCGGCCGGGACAGCCTCCACCCACTCCTGTGGCAGTTTGTGGCATGGTCCTTGTTACCCTTACAGTCATAAACGATCCCTTAAAACTAGCGGCTTTAATTTTCGCTAGGGATCTGGTATGTTTCCAGATCACCTAGAGTCAGATGCATTTGTTCAGTAACAGTTACTTTTGAGCAAATTCCTATGCCAGATGTGCTGAGGACCTGCAAAGATAAAATTCAGCATCGTTTCTGTTTTCAAGAAGCATGTAGTTCGAGAGACAGACATGAAAACAGGTAGAAAACATTCATTTCTATGATGGGAAGCACTGTGCATACAAAGGTTTGGGGAGACCAAAGCAAAACCAATTCATTCCAACCAGGAAGCTGTGGACCATCTCCCTGGTGAAGGAGGTGTTTGGACTGACCTCCCTGCCTCCTGTCATGCCCTCCTCCAATCTGTCCACACTGTTTTCAAAAGGGATCTTTTCAATATTGCAAATGTAATCATGTCATTCCTTAGCTTAAAGTCCTTTACTAGCTCCTACTGCTTTGAGAGTAGTCCCGATCCCTTAGTGGGCTTGATACTTCCTCACCAAGGACAAGGCTCCGCCCATACATGTGCCCGTGTTCTGGTCTTTGGGAGTTACCTTCAGGGACTCACCGGCATCTTTTTTCTTCTCCCCTCAGGGCATTTGCACACACTGCTCTTTCTGCCCAAACTTTCATCAGCTTCCCACCCACCTATGCCACTTTTCTTTTGTCCTGGCTGAGACCCTTTTTTTCAGGATTCGACTGTGGTGTCGTCTCTTTCAGCAGACCTTCACCCGTGCATCTGGTCAGGGTGAGCCGTCTCTTCCCTGTGTTCCAACAAGTGCCACTGTTTATTTCTGGACAGTGGGTTTAACTTGCTGGTTCACTCCCCAAGAGTTTAATGACTGCCTAGCTGCCTGGGGTTGTATCAGTGTATCAGGTATAGGTTCAGTTTAAAGAATCCAAAATATGTTGGTTTAGACCAGGGGGCAGCAAACTGTGGCCCTGGGGCCACATCTGGCTGCCATCTGTATAGCCTACAAGCTAAGCATAGTTTTTATGTTTTTAAATGGTTGAAAAATATCAAAAGGAGGATAATATTTTGTGATGTGAAAATTATATACAATTTAGATGTCAGTGTCCGTGAAGTTTATTGGAACACAGTAAATGCTCATTCATTTACAGATTGTCTGTGGCTGCTTTCATCCTAGAACAGCAGTGTTGAGTAGGTGTGACAGAGGCCGTATGGCCCTTGAAGCCTAAATATTTACTATATAACCTTTCACAGAAAAAGCTGGCCAACAAATATTAGCTTAACTCATTATCACGTTAAAGTCCAGAAGTAGGTGGTCCAGGGCTGGTACGATACTCCACACTGTCATGACCAGGCTCCTTTCTGTCCTGTTGTTCTGCTGCCTGTGGCCTCAATTCCCAGGTGTTAAGTGGCTGCTCCAACTCGGGCCGTCAGGATCGCATTCCAGTCAGCAGGAAGAGGGAAAGAGGAGAAGGGCATGTCCTGCCTTTTAAGGGTGCTTCCTGGAAATATCATGAACCATTTTGCCTTCAATCTCTTTGGCCAGAACTTAGTTATATGGCCTCAGCTAGCTGGAGAGGAGACTAGAAATGAAGACTTCTGTTCTTGGTGGCATGACCTAGTTAAAAATTGGGGATTCAACTACTTGTAGAAGAAGGGAAGAATGGAGAGTGGGGAATGGCTGCAGGCTCTGCCCATAGCCGGTTGCACGGCATACAGACAGCATTCTCCTAGCCTCTTGGGGCTGATGGACCAGTGAGTGGTTTCTTTCTCTCCATAGACTGTTCTTCACGGGCAGAGACTGGTCTTTATATCCTTGATGCTTAGCCAGTGCCTGGCACATACATATCATTCAGCAAATGTTAAAGTAATTAGTTAACTGAGTCTTGGAAAAAAAATAGATTTGTATGTAAGTGCATAGGATTTCTGTTAGAAAAATGTTGACCTCCAGACAGGAAATGGCCATGAGTAAGCACACTGGAGAAGCATAAAATAAGTGGTTGACTAGGGGCCTGAAAAGAAGCCCCGCTTCTTTGCCTAGTGCCTTGAAGGAAGTGGTGGAGAGGTAGGCTGGAAAGGCAAGTCATTGCAGCCTCAGAAATGCAGTTCCTGCTTAGAGATAGGTTCTGAGTCCAGGTGACCTCTCTGTCCTACTTTACCATTATTTCCTTGTTGACATCGTTACAAGGAATGTGCAGTCCGGTACCTGTTGGCCTGTGGATCTGGTCCTCACCCCTGCGCTGCTCTGTGCTGTGTCACAGGAAAGCTGATCCCTCCAGGCTGTGTTTCTCAGGCTTCCATGCCGGCTGACTCTGGCTGGGCTCCACCAGTGCAAGGCACCAGAAGGAGTTTGGAGCGGGAGGATGGGAGAAGTCCCAGGGCACTCCCCGCCCTGGCTACATTCTCTTGGGCAATGCTCTGGCAGCAGCTGTGTGGCTCTAGTTTCCACTGGACAGGCCCCCCGAGCTTCTGCGCACGCCTCTGGCCTCTGCGCTGCGGTAATACCACCGCTGCTCTTTGTTCCTCCTGCCTGTCAGCAGTTACGGCTTCCTGCCGCTGCTAATCTCCAGGCTGTCATGTTATGCTGCGCAGCTCTCCATCAGCCATATAACTAACGCCCTGCTTCTTTCCACTGTAAATTCTCAGATTTGTTTGTTTCCCTGTTAGCCCTCTGAGGGATAAAATGACCAGTATAAAAAGCTTGGCCCTTTCAGAGAAACTGTGGTTCCTGGAACAGCTGTTGGGGGGCAGGGCTGTGTGTGTGTGATAAGCGGTGATGGGCTAAGTAAGGATATACTGATTCTAGGCCCAGGTGGTGCTCATCTGTCCTGTAGCCACCAGCGGAGCACATCACCTGTCTCATTTTCCTCGAAATGTATGGAAATGTTACTGCATGTTGCCTGCAGTTCTGCCACGGAGAGATTTTGTTGGCATAGTTAATAAGTACCGTCTTTTAAAAAGACACTTGAGGATTTGAGTTCTGTCCAGCCGTTTCCCCTCGGTGTGCATTTTTCTTATCATAGTGCTTTTCTCTGTGCGGACAGCATGGCTTTGGAGTGTGGTACAGTGTTTTTAGCTGAGGCAGGGTAGATCCTACTTCCCCCTTGGGAAATTTTCACAGAGAAATGCTTAGTATATTTCTCAGAAAAAGCAGGCTCTAGTATTTTTTTTTAATGTATAAATGCATAGAAACAAATATGAAACTATTAATAGTGGTTATCTTTGGGTGATGGTATTTCAAATAGATGTTTTCCTTTATACTTTGTTTCCAAAGTTTGTTATAGTGGAAATTACAAGATGTTTCATAATTGGGAGGGCAGTAAGCATTAAGGTAGTATGTGACTCCGAGATTGGGGGGTAGAAGGTTGGATAAAAATGCAGAAAAATAAAAAGAGGTAGGACTGTAGGAAATAAAAGTGTTGTTTTTGTTTGTTTTATTAACTGAAATTTTGCTTTAGGTCAGCTCCATTCAATACAAAGGCCATTTTTTTCTTCCTTCCTCTCTTCTTTGGACTCAACTCGGGCTAGTGATATTCAGGCTTATTTAGCTGTATTGCTGGTTAAATAAGCTTTATGGACTAGCCTGGGAACCCAACCTCTTTTTATAGTAAGTTTTTAAAGTAGTAAAGTCATCATAAATTCCAGACAGTCAACTTAGAAGCTCATTCTTTGGGGGATGAGGGGACAATGTCTCTTTTGTTCACTTCTCTATACCCGCTGAGTTGTATAGGGTCTGGCACACACGAGGGCTCAATAAATATCTGTGGCACGAATGGACATCTTCTGCCCGACAGAGGTACGCAGACACACACTTGGTTCATCCTGTGGCTGAGTGCCCTAAGTTGGCTCCAAAACTTGAAAGGTAGAAGCACTCAGAGCCCTCTCTTAGCCCCCATCATGAATACTCCAGCTGCAGAAACACAACTGTCCAGCCTCAGAGAAGAAAGCAGAATCCTTGCCTGATGTAGACCTGAACTGAGACTCAGCAGTGGTCTAGCCTGGGAGTGGAAGCTAACTAATGTTTTTTCCACTAGTCAGGACACGACTGCACTTAGAATTTACTACCCTTTCTTTCCTCCCTCAAAAATGTTAAATACCTAACTTCTTCTCTGCGTATACTTGTGCTGAAGTCCATTTCCCCTTTTATTCATTCATTCAGTACCTATTTGATGACAGTTTCTCATGGGCCAGGCATCAGTGGCTCTTGGATATGCAGTGGTAAGCAGAAGAGGCATGGTTCCCATCTCGGAGTGCTTCCAGTTAGTGAAATAAATGAAAATGGAATTTCCACCACTCATTGACATGAACAGTTGGCCGAGGAGAATGGGCTGCTTTCAGGCTAGATCTTGGAGTTGCTCTACTGAGCAAAGGCCTCTTCTTTTCCCAGTGATTTGTTTTATCATCTTGACATCTTGATATGTGTCTCCCTCCGACTGCAAAAAGAAAAAAAAAAGAAAGAAAGAAATTGTCTCATTTGGATGTGCGGACAAAGTTTTTATATCTGCTCTTTTCCTGACAGGTAAACTTTAATGAGCCCTTATCCATGCTTCAGCGCCTTACTGAAGATCTGGAATACCACGAGCTGTTAGACCGAGCTGCAAAGTGTGAGAACTCTCTAGAACAGCTCTGTTATGTTGCAGCTTTCACCGTGTCCTCCTACTCCACTACTGTCTTCCGTACCAGCAAGCCGTTCAACCCACTCCTTGGGGAGACCTTTGAGCTAGACCGATTAGAGGAGAATGGGTACCGATCCCTCTGTGAGCAGGTAAAGGAGCCTCAGGACTGTGACACGTTTCCTTTTTGAAGAAAGGGATGATTTCTTTGGTTGATACCCCTGGGTGTTAACGTTTGCAGAAATTCCAGACCCCGTCATCCCCAACTGCCTTCTTTTCCTTCAGGACTTCCAACACTGGAGGCCCTGGTATTCATCTACTGCTATGGGTGTAAAAATGTCAAGTGTGAATTTGGGGTGTTTATCACCAGTTAATAGGCAGTATCTTTTTTTTCTCCTTTCTTCCTTTTAATTTGAACCACTGATTTCTTCAAGGTGAGTCATCATCCCCCTGCGGCTGCACACCACGCTGAGTCCAAAAATGGCTGGACGTTGCGTCAGGAAATCAAAATCACCAGCAAGTTTCGAGGCAAATACCTCTCCATTATGCCGCTTGGTAAGGCCACCATCTTTGTAAGAATTTGTGCTCCAGGAAGGAAAGCTTTTCTGGCAGGATGGAGGCGGTTAACTGGTTCAGTAGCCAGGAACCTGGAGGTCTGATTCAGGCACTGAACCTTACGAGCTAGCTTTGTGCAGGTCATTTAACTTCTCAGCTGCTGGGTGGGGGGGCGGTGTGTGTGAGACTCTTTAAGGACCCATCCGGTCATAAGTTCTTTGTCTTCTTAGCTATATTTAATGCATCTTTAAGTACTATTTTAGAATACACATTTTAGCATGCATTTAAAAAATTCTTTTAGGTGGTGGTGTTTACCCCAATTCCCTAGCAATCAGCTTCTCTCTATAGATCAGAACTCCTGTGACTGCAAAAGGTTAGGGTTCCTGGGTAGCCCCTCCTCCTCCTCCTCTCCTTTCTCCCCTCTCTCTTCCTCCACCGGAGGGGTTAGGTGTCATTTATGTAACAGCTGAACTCCAGGTAAAATGAAACTTTATTTTAAAAGGTCTTATTGGATTACAAGTTAATTTTGCACCAAGATCAGAAAGGTCAGGCCTGGGAGTAGGAATCCTAGTGTGCAGTGTGTGTGTGTCCGTACTTTAGGGGAAGTGAGATTATTCAGAAAGGGCAGTAGATTCTTGATGCTCTTTTGAACTAGAGCCAGCCACATTTGGCCACGTGTGTACTGAAGAGTGAACGTTGGTCTGCAGAAAAAGAAACACAAAGCAGGTAGAGAGAAAGCAAGTGGCTCCCTAGAGCCAGCGCTGGTAGTAACTCCTGAGCTCTCCATGGCGTTCCATGTCCTGGTTTTAGTCTTTCATGTGGCAGAGCTGCAGTGCTGGGTTATCGCAGTACAGTCTTCTGCTTTAGTAAATCCCCCTTTCTCTCAGAAACAATGTAGCAGGTACAGTGCAAACTAGAAATTAGCCAGAAAAAAATCCGGGGATGTTCGTAACATATTAAAAGACAAGAAACTGAAATGTTAACTCTGTTGCCTCATGGTTAATATGCAAGATGAAAAGGAGACTAAGTGATTTTGGTCTTGATCTTTACTGAGAACCTTTGAAAAGGTTCTAATTGCTTAACTGTCTTTGAAGCTGATAGCTTCCGAAGTGTGTTAGGTTAAGAGTAGTAAACACCTGAGATGTTCACACCTAATCTGCAGAACTAGGGTGTCAGTGGTCATATTGCAGTATAACTTTCATCCATGCAGGAGGGTTTCAGAGGCCCCCTGAGGATTGCCAAAGGGATGGGTTATATGTATTTAATTCTAAGGAAGTTTATATACATTTTAAAAACGGCAGTAAACCTAAATTACCAGCGATGTGCTGTGCATTTTCTCTGTAATTTGACTAATCTAGAATTCTTTGAGGGGTAAATAACTATAGGAACATGATATAAGTGGTAGATCTAATTTTTTAGAGTTAAAAAAATCTTTGATAGGATTTCATTCCTTTGGTTGTTAAGGGTTCATCAGGATATATTATCTTAAGTCACCCCATCTATTAGATACTGAGTATACCTACCACGTACTAGGTGTGGTTCTAAGGTGCTCGGGAAATGCAAGTGAACCAAACAAAGATCCCAGCCTTTGTAGGGAGATTGAACAAGAATTGACGTAGCGGGACTTCCCAGGTGGTGCAGTGGTTAAGAAATCCGCCTGCTAATGCAGGGGACACGGGTTCGATCCATTTTCAGTGGCGGTCAACTCCCAGAGGGTAAATCACTAAGCCAAGAGGCGCCATTGGAGAAAGACAGCTGGACAGGGGCGTGAGTGAGCAGGGAGATGGATGGCTTCTTGCGGTGGTGGAAGGTGGTCTGAGTCTTCCAGTAAAATTGACTGAAAAGGTTAGAATTCTTGCAGTCTGGAAAAAAGAATGCTTCTAGGAAATACAATTGAAGTTTGCAAAATTATGAAGACTGCGGTAGAGGGTAAATATGAGTTTGCTCATCCACTCGTTTTGGAATTGGGTGGTAGCTTCAAGTTTAAAGAGATACATTTAAATAGAGGATTGGAGTTCTCTAACCCAAGAAGAATCACAATTTGATATGATGAATGAAACAGCCACTCAGCCTGTTGATCTCTGTGTCAGTGACACTGCTGGGCTCCATGCACCTTGAATTTGCCCCAGCAGCACTTTAGTCAGAAAGTCCTCCTTATATATTTTATCCATTTTTCCAATTTCTACTTTTTGATTAGAGTGATTAATCCATTTATATTTATTATAATTACTGATTAGTTAGGATTTACATCTGCCGTTTTGGTATTTTGTTTCTGTACATCTTATGTCCTTTTTGTTCCTCCTCTACTCTGCCGTTCGTTCCTTCTTTTGTGTTAAATAGATATTTTTCTAGTCTACCATTTTAATTCCCTTGTTATTTCTTTTACGGTATTTTTTAAAGGTATTTTTATGGTTATCCTGGGTATTAAAATTAACACCTTCTAATAATCTAGTTCAGATTAATACCAGCTGAATTTCAACAGGATATAAAGACTTTGCACTTACATGGATCTATTACCTTTTCCCTCCCTTGTGCTTTTATTTTCAGGCAAACTATTTTTCTACATTGTAATTCCATCAACATTGTTTTATAACTGTTGCTTTATGTAGTTGTCTTTTACGTCATATCGGAGAAAAAAGTTATAAGCAGAAAATAGATGTATGCTGGTGTCTTTTATGTAGTTTAATTGCTGTTACCTTTACTGGTCTCTTAATTTCTTAAGGTAGATTTAAGTTACTGCCTAGTATCCTTTCATTTCAGCCTGAAGGACTTCCTTTAGCATTTCTTGAAGAGCAGATCTGCTAGCCAGGAATTCTTTCGGTTTTTGTTTTTCTGGGAATGTCTTAGTTCTCCTTGTTTATGAAGGATAATTTTGCTGGACATAGAACTCTGGGTTTGATGGTCTTTTTCTTTCAGCATTTTGAATGCGTCATCCGACTGCCTTCTGGCCTTCGTGGTTTCTGAGGATCACTTGTGTGTGACGCATCACTTCTCTCTCACTGCTTTCCGGATCCTCTGTTTGTCTGTGTCTTTCTAGTTTGATTACGGTCGGTTTCAGTGTGGCGCTCTTTGAGTTGATCCACTTGGCATTCACTGGACTTCTCGGAAGTGGAGATTAGTGCTTTTCGTCAAATCTGGGGAATTTGGGGCCGTTATTTCTTCAGGTGCTCCAACTGTTATCACCACCTGTGGCAGCTGTTGTGTTAAATAATTGCCACGGATTGTTTTGATAATTGCCCCAGCGGGTGCGGAATCAGATCAAATAAAGATAAGCCCAGTGAGTGGGAGTTTACTGGGAGCCACCAGATAGGTCAGCTAATGACAGTACTTTGGAGCTGGGCTTTGGGAGCTTCACGCTGTTCTACTCCCTCCAGTGTTTGCTAGACTGCTTGCTGGTTTTCACGGCTACCATGACTGTGAGGCTACCAGTTTTCAAGGCTACTGCTGAGCTGGGGAGAGAAGGATAGGAACGGGGCAAGTTAAAATGCCACAGAGCTCATTTTGCTTACTGAGAGTCAGCCATTTTTCTTGAGTAAATGTTTCTTGGAGTATTGTAAGCCTTTGGTTAATTTCCAGAGTTACGAAAAAGTTGATTCTGATCACTTTTGTTAGTGTGTTCTTGTTGATTTTACTGGGGAGCTGATACATGGAAGTTCTTACTCTACCATTCTCTAAGTGGCTGTCTTCCCCTTTATACATTTTAAATGGCTCAGTTTTGGGATCTTTAACTAATTGTCAAGTTTTCAACACACAAATAATATATAAACGAAGGTAGTCATAGGGTGTTCTTTATTTTTCCACTATCCCAGTGAACTGGAAGGGACACTGCAGAACAACAGGTACATCATCAGGTTGGGATATAGGGTTATTGTATTGGACTGTACACATTTTCTGCTCTTATTTTGAACTTCAGCCCTAGCTGTCACTAGCTCTGTGACCTTGGGAAAATTATTTGACCTCTCTAAGCTCAGAGTCTTCATTTGGTAAAATGAGGATGTGGTAGGTTGAATAATGCCCCCCTGCCCCCAAATATATCCACATCCTAATCTCTGGAACCTATGAATTTATCACTTTACACAGTGAAAGGAACTTTGGACATGTGGTTAAGGATCTGGAGATGGGGAGATAATCCTGGATTATTCTATGGGCCTAATGTAATCAACAAGGGTATTTATAAGAGGGAGGCCGGAGGTTCAGAGTCAGTGACAACAGAAGCAAGAGGTTTGAGTGATGCTAGGAAGGGTCCACAAACCAAAGAATGCAGGTGGCTTGTAGTAACTGGAAAAAGCAAGAAAATGGATTTTCCCCTTGAGCCTTCAGAAGGAACACACACCTGCTGACACCTTGATTTTAGACTTCTGACTTCTAGAACTGTAAGAGAGTAAGTTGTGTTATTTTTAAAAATTTATTTATTATTTGTTTGTTTTGGGCTGCATTGGGTCCTCATTGCTGCGTGCAGGCTTTCTGTAGTTGCGGCGAGCGGGGGCTACTCGTCATTGCAGTGCGAGGGCTTCTCATGCGGTGGCTTCTCTTGCTGGGGAGCACGGGCTCTAGGCACACAGGGTTCAGTACTTGTGGCACGCGGGCTCAGTAGTTGTGGCTCGCGGGCTCTAGAGCACAGGCTCAGTAGTTGTGGCGCACGGCCTTAGTTCCTCCACGGCATGTGGGATCTTCCTGGGCCAGGGCTCGAACCCGTGTCCCCTGCATTGGCAGGCGGATTCTTAACCACTGCGCCACCAGGGAAGTCCCAAGTTGTGTTATTTTAAGCCACAAAGTTTGTCATAGCTGGTATCAGCAGCAGTAGGATACAAATGTAGCCTGCAGCTAAGGTATCAACCACTATGTGCTGGTAACTATTTCTAGTTGGGTACATAATGGTGAACAAAAGCTCCTTTGCCCTCATTTAGCTTGCATTCTTAAGTAGACACAAAAGTAAGTAAAACAAGTACTTTGATTTTATATAGTGGTGGTTCAGTGAAGAAAATAGAGTAAGCAGAGATGGGGTTAATGATGGAGGAAGGAGAGTGTTGTGTGTTCCCTTGTAGCAGAGTCAGGAACTTCTCTGAAAAGGTTACATTTGAGCAGAGACGTGAGAACAAAAAGAAACAAAACCAAAAGATGACTGGCAGAGAGAACCCCAAAGATAAGGGCCCTGGGGATGGAGCAAGCATAGCACGCATGAGAAACAGCAAGGCCACAGCAGCTGGTTCAGAGTGAGGAGGGGGACGCGGTGGATGAGACCAGAGGGTAGGCGGGAGCCTGCTCTTGTAGCGTCTTGTACACCGTGAAAGGAGTTGAGTTTTATTCTAACTACAGTGGGGAGTAATGGAGAGATTTTACGGTGTGGAAAGTTGATATGACATGTTTTAAACAGATCATTTTGACTAGAGACTTGAAGGGGGCCAGAGTGGAAGCCGGGAGGCCGAAAAGAGGTTTGGGCAAGAGCTGCTGGTGGCTTAGACTGCAGTGGTGAAGAACAAGGGATTTAGGCCATAGTTAGGCAGAGCAGATGTTTTTGAAGATGGCTGTGAAGCGTAAATGAGTGAGGAGAGCCTAGCACAGTGTCCGGTACACAGCAGGTGTCCTCAGCGGGGTTGCCATTGCTCCTGTCAGCGTCGTTGTCACCAGTGTTGTCCTCGTCAGCATGACCGCTGCTGCGGCCACCAGGGCTACTTTAAGCTTTTTGTACAAGAAGGACACGCCTCAGCCACGTTTAGCGTTCGTTTCGTTAGTGGCTACAGAGGGAGTGCAGAGTTATACCGTTACTGGAATTAACTGTATTATTTAATGTGTATATCTTCTGAAATTTTTGGATTATTTTGAATCTCCACTCACCTCTGTTGAAGCCACTGATTTTGGCTTGGTATTCATTTGAGATTATAGGAACAGGAGAGGACCTTACGTACTGAGTGCTATAAAGGGTACAAATCAGGACCAGCCCCATGGAGAGACACATAGCAGGGGGTGTGGGAGGATCCTGGACATGAGTTTCCATGCCCTCTCGCCATGAAATCAGGGCCCAGCACCTTCCTGGCACATTGATGTGTTTAACATCCTAGAAGCTCCACCAGGCTTCCTTGTCCAGAGATTTTATTGGGGTTTCATCATGTGGGCACAGTTGATCAAATCCTTGGCCACGTGACTGAACTCAATATCCCGGCCTCCTTCCTTCCCTGGAAGGAAGGAAATACCATTCCCAGGAGGTCAGGAGGCCAGATCTAGCCCGTATCAGGTGACCCGCAGCCGCTGCTCTCTAATGACATGGTTGGTCTTTCTGGCCCACCCTCGTCCTAAGTCATCTTGTTGGCATAAGCTATCTAGGGGCCCACCTGAGGCACCTCATTGGCATATATCACCAGGGCCCTCATGAGTAACAAAGACACTACTGTCACTTGGGAAATTGCAAGGGTTTAGAGGTTGGACAAAGACCAGACAAATTCTTTATTATGCAACACGTGCTCACACATCGAGTGAGTGTTGGAGCTGGTGCCCCTGCTCTATCCACTACTCCCCCCCCCTTTTTTTTTTTTTTTTCACTATTAAGGCCCATAGGTAGACAAGTGGTTTGCTTAAAGTCACACAGCTAGTTACTCACAACAGGGCTTGTCCCCAGTACTGAGCACCAGTGTGTGCTCTTTTCCATATGCTGCTTTATTTTTTCATGTTGGGGCAGATGTGACCTGTTCCTGTGAATTTTGCAGCTAGTATGGCAGGTACAGTTAGTGAAAAGATTGGGGGTTTTGCTTTCATCTTTATTTCTACATCTGCAGAATATTACTTCCCAGCTAAGCTGTATCAGCTGTCAGTGTTTGTCCTCATTAGTTATATTTTATTCATAAATTTTAAAATCACGTGAAAAATTCAGTCAGTGCTTCCAACATTTATAAAGGTTATAAGTCCTTTTTGACTTATTGTTTTCTTTTTAAAAGTAAGAAATATTGATAAAATCAAATCAATCCATCATTATTTCTAGCCAGCATGGTGCTGTTTTTCTAATATTTGGCTTAATTTGTGTACCACTCTCTGCTTCTAGGTAGCATCCACTGTATCTTCCACGCAACTGGGCACCACTACACTTGGAAGAAAGTTACCACGACAGTGCACAACATTATTGTGGGCAAACTGTGGATCGATCAGGTGAGTAAAGGGACTCAGCATGCTTCTGAAGTTCAGAAGAATACGTCCATCTTTGTAGTATTTAGGACGTGTGAACTGGCCCCAGACTGCTGTTACTGGTTTATCAGTTTTGCCTAAGGAATTTCTCTCAGGCAGTAATCCCACCCCCAAACTCCCCGAGTTTCTATACCACAAACTATTACCTATAAATGACCAAGTTACAACATTCATTCAGTGACTACTCTACTAGGGCTGTGTTAGGTACTATGAAGAATACAAGAAAATAATAAACATGGCTCCCATCCTTCATCCTTTCATTATTCATCAAACATTTGTTGCCAAGCTGAGTGCTAGGTCTTGGGAATACAAAGTCATATGAGGCATTGTCCTGCCAAGAGTTATTTTATCATTGGAGATATATGACAGATATGTGTAGGATGAAAAGTATTTGCCAAAATAGACTAGTGTAAGAGCTGTACTAAAATACTATCTAGGGGCTTCCCTGGTGGCACAGGGCTTAAGAATCCACCTGCTGATGCAGGGGACACGGGTTCGAGCCCTGGTCCAGGAAGATCCCACATGCCGCGGATTAGCTAAGCCCGTGCGCCATAACTACTGAGCCTAGAGCCCTCGAGCCACAACTACTGAGCCTGTGTGCCACAATTACCGAAGCCCGCGTGCCTAGAGCCCGTGCTCTGCAGCAAGAGATGCCACTGCAATGAGAAGCCCGCTTGCCACAACTTGAGAAAGCCCGCACTTAGCAATGAAGACCCAACGTAGCCATAAATAAACAAACAGTCAAACTATCTAATTCATTGTCAATTTGCTCTTAAGACAGTGGTTGCAGTAAATTCAGAAAAGAGAGGGAATTCTGTCTGAGCAGTCAGGAAAGGCTTCACGGTAGATGTGGGCATGAAGCTGAGTCTTAAAGAGCTTTTTGGGATTTGCAAGATAGAAAGGAGGAGAAAATGCAATGAATGAAGTGTAGAAAGGCCCACGATATGTAGGGTTGAAACCGTGAGTAGAATACTTTAAGCACAGAGTTCATGAAGGGTACGAGTGGAGGATTGGTTTGGGAAGGTAAATTATTATGTGAATATCATCAGTGTGTGTGCTGAAGGTCGAATTATGCCACTGAACATGTGACACAGTTTTTTAAAAAAAGGTCATTTGGCCTTGATTCCAACCTGGCATACCAAGATTACAAAGGGATTCCACAGCATCTCAAGGTTGGCTAAGACCTGAATCTTAGGTACAGGAAAGCTAGAATGTAAGATTGAAAAGAATTATGATGCATGAGGCTTAGCATGTATTCAAGTCATCCATTCTTAATAAAACCAATCCATGATTCTTTTCTTTTTATAGTCTGGTGAAATTGATATTGTGAATCACAAGACAGGAGACAAGTGCAATCTTAAATTTGTTCCTTACAGCTACTTCTCTCGGGATGTAGCAAGAAAGGTAAGAGAAGTTGAAATTAAAATGTTTTTCACTTAGTGTGTATCCCATAGAAAGTCTGTTCCTTTGGAGCTGGTGTAGGTGGGTGGATTGTGTGTGTTCAAAAAAAAGGAGAGATAAAGGAGAAAGTCAGCAAAAGACAACAAGTTAGAGAATAAAAGTCAAGAGCAATGAGGGATTGGCATTTCCTGGTGGTCCAGTGGTTAGGGTGCTTTCACTGCCGTGGGCCCCGGTTCGATCCCTGGTTGGGGAACTAAGATTCTGCAAGCTGTGCAGGCGTGGCCAGAAATGAAAAGGGCAGTGAGATTTGAAAATGGGCAACACCGAGGAAGGATGAAGGAAAGGGTTACCAGAAGAAGGCATGGGTACTTTGAAGTCTGAGTGAGAGTTCTGGTACCACCGCAGTGGAACTGTGCTGTGAGTTTTGATGGGAGAGTGAAGAAATCTGTTTGTGGCTCTCTCCGCTTTCCGGAGAGAAGAATATAACATAATTCTGAGTACAGTCAGATCCTTTTCCTACATATATCATTACAACAAAAATCTGTACAACAAAATGGTAATGAATCCTCCAACTCATGACTCAGTTATTTTAAGCAGCTCAAGAAAACATAACAAAATAATTTGAATGGTTCCGTGGAGTTTGTCATGACAGGATTTAACCAGTATTTACCCTAGGACTTCGGTTTCCAGAGTAGTCAGGTAAGCTAACACAGCGAATGCCGTACTCCAGAGCCCTGCTCTCCCTCTTTGTAGGTGACAGGGGAAGTGACAGATCCATCAGGAAAAGTTCACTTTGCCCTTCTGGGGACGTGGGATGAGAAAATGGAGTGTTTCAAAGTACAGCCAGTCATCGGGGAAAATGGGGGTGACACTCGGCAGCGAGGCCACGAAGCAGAGGAAAGCAGGGTCATGCTGTGGAAGCGGAATCCTTTACCGTGAGTATCAGTGTGAGCCCCGCCCGGGTCCTGCTGTGACCTCAGCCTTGGAGCAGTGTTGCGGCATTTCTGCCTTCCTTCCCACTTAATTCTGTGAGGGGACTGAGCACGGGACATCGGAACCTGGAGATATGACCAGAAGGTGGTCCCCGTGTGGTTGGGTTGTAGCGTGCCTTGTCCCAGGAAAGTTCAAACTACTCAAACCACGTCTGCCAAAAACATTTGGTGTTTCCTAAAGGTCCTTTGGATTGTGATTCCGAAGGATGTTTTTCTATAATTTAGAGTAGAACTATTCAGAAGTGGCTAGAGGAGAAAGATGCTCACCACCTGTGGCCCAAAGGCCTAGCAGCAGTATAAAGGTCCCTGAGATAATGTGCAGGACTTTGGAAAGAAATTAAGGTGGAGGCCATTTGTCTCCTGTCATTATTTAATATGTTCAGTCCTCAGTAATAGCCAAGGTTATCCCAGAAGGAGGTTAAAAAGAAAGCGAAGGAAACAGGAAGAAAGAAGTTTTATTTAGTAGAATGTTTCATCCTTCCTAATTTCACCTGAGCATAGCACAGGCCCAGAAAACTATCCAGTTGAGTGATCCTGGGGAGGGGATGGGGAATGGTCCAGTCGGGTCTCTTAATTAGGTGAACCTGATGTGGTTGGTCCTGGAGTCTTTCCATCTGTAGCACAGCCAGGGTGATGTAGCCCTTGTAGTGAACTTAGCTGGTGCTCTTTAACTAACAAGGGTCTCAGCTCTGGCATTACCCTTCCTCTTTCTCACCCTTTACTTTTAGGAAGAATGCAGAAAACATGTACTACTTCTCAGAGCTGGCTCTAACTCTCAATGCCTGGGAAGCTGGCACTGCCCCCACAGACAGCCGATTACGGCCCGACCAGAGACTGATGGAGAATGGGCGCTGGGATGAAGCAAATGCCGAGAAGCAGCGCCTGGAGGAAAAACAGAGACTTTCCAGAAAGAAGAGAGAAGCCGAAGCTATGAAAGCCACGGAGGATGGTAGTGGACGCCTTCTACTCTGTTTCCCAGTCCCGACGCGTGGCAAATGCCCATGTGTTTTCGGCTCTGATTGTGTTTTTCTTCACCCTCTTTCCCTTTTAGGCACGCCCTACGATCCCTACAAGGCACTGTGGTTCGAGCGGAAGAAGGACCCTGTTACCAAGGAGTTAACCCATATTTATAGGGGAGGATACTGGGAGTGTAAAGAGAAACAGGACTGGAGCTCATGCCCGGACATTTTCTGAACCGGCCGTGACAGAAGGAGGAGGATCCAAAGGAGAAGAGGACAGAGGATGCGCGGGAAAGCTGGCAGTTGTGACTCTTACGGAGAGCTTTCCTCAAGTTTGTCTGTCTTAACCAATCATTTTTTCCAAATCAATCACCAGAAGCAGACACCGTTGGTGGTGATTGGCTGGTTGCCTTAGCTGATTGAAACTGAAATCGACATTCTGGATCCTGTGTGTGTGAGGGAGAGGCGTCCTGGCTGCGTGTTAGTGTCGTCCCGCTTCTGCAGAGTCACGTGCTCTTGACCCTTTCCTCTCCCTCGGCCCCGGTTTGAGATGCTGTCCCTCACCCTCCCCTTACAGAGCCTGCCCAGCCAGGACCTGCGAAAGAGGATGACGCGGGGGCGTTCCGGTGCAGTTCAGAGCGAGAGCTGATTTTAGAGGTTCCCTTTAAAAAGAAACACCACGTAAGACTTAACCGACAGAGGCATCGTGAATGCTCGTGGTGGAGCTTGGGTGTGACGTTATGAAGTGTTCACAGATGGGGTCAATTGAACGGGGTGTCGATGCGGAGAAGACCGTGGCACTGGAACACTTGTGAGAGGGACTGTTTTGCAAGGCCGGGACGTTCAGAGTTAAATTCTTGGAAGTTTCGATCTTCACTCGCGTGAAACACCCTGCTGCTGTTCTCCATCTTCTTTGACAGCACCCGGGACCACTTGGGTGGTCGGTAGGAGGGTTGCGTTATCCTCACAAAGGGGTTTTACGGACTTGCTCAGGCGGAGAACTTCTGAGAACATGAGGCAGGATGGAAGAACACTGCTGGCCACCCTTGCTTTCCCCGCTCCTCCTCTCCCCCATCCTTCATTGCCTTTCCTCTCTTCTCCCTCCGCGCAGTACTGCTTCGGGTTTGTGCCCTGTGGAGCAAAGCGTTACCTGTCCCATTCTGATATACTTCAGAATCTGAGAGAAGGAGTGTATCTGGAATAAGTTTTCACCATCTCTCAAGCCCCATGGACTGGAGCCACCTCTGGAATAGTGCGTTAAGTATCTGTATAGTATATATATGTAGAGAAAAATCTCATTCTTTTCTGGTTTGATTTTCCTTCTTCCCATTAAGAATCTTGATTTTTGATATCACTTGTCTCCCTGGGACTCTCTCTTGGACACACTGATGTGGATTGGAGCCGCCTCTACTTTCCCTCTTTCAGGGGCAGACAGATTCCAAACCTGATCAGGATCCCGCCCAGCGGTTACTGAGCAGGGACCTTGTCCATGGTTTGTATCATGAGGTGCCCACTGCTGTCTAAACTCTGCTCTTCTAATTACCTGACTCTTGAAAATGAAATCCTAACCTCTTTCCTACCTTTTTTCCTTCTCTTACTAGGAAGAGTATGGGTAGAAAGTCAGGAGGGTAATTTCCAGTTTGAGCCTGCCTCTGTCCAAATCTCAGCACACAGAGCTGATCCCCAAAAGAGCCTTCTTCCTAGGAATCGGGGCTAAAAGCACCGTCACGTGGGGTGGGGAAGAGAACTGCTCCTGCTGGGCCCTGGTTTCCTTCATTTTTTTGTTCTGTATTTGTTTAAGTTGTCTTGTTCAGAAATCTAACCCCGCCGTGCCACCCACCCCTGGTTGAGGATCACAAATCGAGGTGCCTTCCTTGTATGCTTTTTGTTAGTGCTTTTTGTTTCTGTTCCTTAACTGCCGAGCCTCAGCCAGTGTGGGTCCTAGGGGGGAGAATCATTCCAGAGGAAGCCATCCCAGCAGGGAACTTGGATCTATACTGGGTAAATAGCACTCTTATTCCTTCCCCGCCATCCCTTCCTTCCTAGCTGTGATGAACTTGAGAGAGGGACACCTCCTGGGGAAGGTCCTCCTGCGAACTCAACTCGATCCCAGCGTAAGCAAGGGATTATTCCAGGGCTGCTTCTTTCAAGGAGGCCCATAAAAGCGTTGATGTAACTGGGGTGGGGGGCGGAGCTTTAGACAGCGGGAACTCTCCAAACAGACGGAACTTCCCTGCTCTGTCTCCCGCCCCCCCTCCCCGTTGTCTGCACTACGTTTCCAGCCTGATCCCCAGTGAGGTTCCTGCTAATGGAAGAGGCGTCGAGTCCTTCAGGTGAAATAAAGTCACATGAAAACAAAACAAAACTATATATATTTTCGGTTTTTTTGCCTTATTGTTTTTTTTCCAAGAAAACTACTAAATTAAATAATTTTTAAAAAGTCATATTGTTTGTCTGATTCACTTCTACTTAAGGAGGAGGCAGTGGGAAGAGGTGGAGAAGTGGCCCCTGGGTGATTTGTTCTTGGCAGTCTGGGAACTTGATCTTCATGGGAGATGGAAAGAAAAACTGGGCGCGGATTTCCAGATGTTTCGACTATTCAACAACATTCCAGAGGACCTAATGACCACATGAGTAGTTTTAACAGCCCCCGGTGCTTCAGTGCCATGTCACTGTCAGGGTCCCACCTTGCCATAGGGGAACGGTTTCTAGTGTTTTTGATACTGGGCCTGTTTCACCTCAAAAAATAAAAGTTCTTGAATTTCATCTCTCTTGTCCATTTAGATTTTCAGGATCTTAGTTAGCTGTTCCGTGTAAGGATTCAAATTCTATATTTTGAAACATAAGCAATTGAGTATTGATTTGAAGACCTTTGGAGAGAAGTAAAGGACAGTGAAAATGCTTGTTCAGTTTTTCTCTGCACACAGTTCAGGGAGGGGAGAAGGTGGCCACAGTGATCGAAGGAGCATGGAGAGGCCTCCGATGAGGGTGAGCGCCAATTCCTGCCCTGCGTCCACAGTGCTGAGACTGGAGCTCTCAGCATTGCCAGGCTTCCGCTTAAACAATTTCAAGAAGTATATTTTTCAATTGTCACGTTGAATATGAGGAAAGGCGCTCAAAAAATAAATTTACTCAAGGTCACATAGCTGATTGGTTAGTCACAGTACTGGAATTCAAAGCTGGGTTGGTTTAACCCCAGAGTTTGTGACCTTTACAAACTTGTGCTCTGTGAGAAACTGGGTTGGAAGGCGGCTGGTAGTTAAGTCATTTCCTCCTGGATTATACATCGTGCAGAAATGCGTATCTCTGTTTCCAGAAGCTTCTTAACGTCGATAATACTATTTTGGGAGTCCCACATGAAGGAAGGCGCATTGGAGCATTCTTTTTTTTTGGCCATGCCGTGTGGCATGCGGGATCTTAGGTCCCCGACCAGGGATTGAACCCACGTCCCCGGAATTGGAAGCATGAAGTCTTAATCACTGGACCGCCAGGGATGTCCCAGAAGGAGCATTCTTGAAGTTCAGCCTCCTGGCTCCTTGGTTTCTCAAGGCTCTCATGCCCACAAAATCAGCTATGTTGTCAGGGGTCGTCTTTTCTAGCCTGGTTCTTGGGAAGGCCACTTAGCCTTGATGTTAAGTATTGGCAACGTTTTTTTTTTCTGGCAAGCTAAAAACCATGGTAGTCGACCCTTGACGCTTGTGAGAGCTGCATCCTGCAATTTTGAATACCGTAAGGTATGTAATTTCCTCCAATAGGGTCAGTCCAATGTACCTGAAACATTTGAATAATCCCTCCTTTAGTCCTTTAATGGGCTCCTGTGACATGATGGGTTGGGATGTGGATCCCGCGGAGTGTAGCTTACTCATGATTCAAAATTACACCTGTCAGGGACCTCTGAAGTCCCACAAAAATGTTAAACCTATACATTTCAAAGGTCTGCTCCACTTTCTGCAAGATAAGTGAAAATCAACCTATAGTATAGTCCTAAAAGGAAGTGTAGAAAAGTCCAGAATTTATTCACTATAAGGTATATACCTTGTGAAACCCTAAGATTATCAAAATTTAGAGCTTGCATCTAAAAGTTTATAAAGCTTTTGCCCAGTACTGTGCCCTGCCCTGTGGGAAGCATCCCTCAAGCCTTCCCTGGCTTTCCCTTCTGAAGCTCATAAAATAACCTGGTTATGTTCTCAGCCTTTCCTCCCTTCTGTCTTTTCAAGTCGAGCGCTCCTTTTGGGGTTCACAGTGATCCCCCAGGGGAAGGAAGCAAGCTGGTCAGATGAGGCATCTTTAAAGGCAAGAACTAAGGAGCTCAGAATCTTCTGTAAGTAGCCTTGCAGAGGTCACACCTGAGTTTGACCAGGTGATTTAAGAAGTTAGTAAACAACCAGTCGGCCCTGAGAGAGGTATGGCTAGGAATGTCTCCATTCGTTCATTCATTCAACATTGACTTCCAGCTTGTTACATAACATAACATTAGAGATACAAATGGCAAGAAAGAGCTCAGATAAACGGGCAATTACACTCTAGTTTGATAAATGGCATGAAAGCACTGTAGAGGGGCAACAAGCCTATAGAGAGTGGGGGGGGAGGGGATAAAGACATGTCAGGGAAGCCTTCTATTTAATACAACTAGGAGAATGTATCTGAGTTGAGAGTTGCAGGTTTAATAGGGGTTAGGGAAACGGCACCCTGTAAGATGCTGCATGGATAAAGATGGAGAGCAAAGTCGAGGAAAGCATCCTGCTTTTGGATGGCTGTATGAATGGCTGGAGTTTAAGGTCAAGGAGCGGGCACTGATACAGTGATGGAGAGAGGTAAGGCCCAAGTCATGGAAGTCTTCATATACCACATAAAGAAACCTTGGTTTTCGTTTTCAGCAAGGGAGCCAGTGAAAGATTTGTAAGCAGGGTGATGGGTTCCAGTGTGGAAAATGATTGACAGGTAGTCAGATCAATTAAGAGATTGGAGAAGTTGTGAGAATGAAGAGAAGTGCAGGGATTCCAGTATTGACTGGAATGAACAGCACTTGAGTATGGTTATTGGTGGAGAGCAGAGGGAGGGAGGGAGGGAGGAACTTGTATTTTTCTTGCTCAGGAAACTTAGAAGGAAGGTGGTAGCAAGCTAAACAAGTCTAGAGGGAAAGATGGGTTCATTTGGGGGCATTCTGAGTTGGAGGAGCCTGTGGAGAGGTTGAGTAAGCGACTTAAAACATGGGTCCAAATGTAATGGCTACATTTTTGTGAGAACTGAGGAATGAGGTGCTGAGAGAGGCTGCACATTAAAATCACCTGCAAATTAAAAAATATATAATCCTGAGCGCCATCTGCAGAGATTCTGATTCACTTAGGGTTAGGGCTAGTGCAATTTTATCTATATGTATATAAACGCAAGGGTCACAAAATTATGAAATGAGAGGAGGAAGTGGGATAAATCAGCATATTAGGGGATATTATTAAACCACAGCTCGCTTCTCAGAGTTTGAGAGGTCTGAGCCAATTCCACATTTTGACAATGTCTGTATGTTTCAAATTTTTTAAACGTCAAGATGAGATTACAAAAATTGAGGTATACTTTAAATAGGTTTAGCAAATCAATGCTTTTAACATACAGATACAATGACTCTATGTATACTTCATCAGGAGGTAACATTGAAAATTGACATTTGAAATCTTTACAAATGGCCTTCCTGTCTGTCCTCTTGCATACACTTCTTGAGACCACTTTGACAATATCTGAAAAATTCAAAATGTTCATGTATTTTGGCCTTGCGAAATCTGCCTTCTCACAAGAAAAACAAATACAAAAGGATAGTCATTGCAGTATTGTTTTTAATAATGAAACCTAGGGGAAAAAAGTCAAAATGTCCATCATTAGGTATTTGATTACATGGATTGTGTTATATCCATACAATCCGATATTGTGCATGGGTTAAAAAGAATGAAATAGGTCTACATACATAGCTGACATGAAAAAAAAAAGTCCATGATTTATTTTTAACTTTTTTTCTTTTTTGCAGCACGCGGGTCTCTCACTGCTGTGGCCTCTCCCGTTGCAGAGCACAGGCTCCAGACGCGCAGGCCCAGCGGCCATGGCTCACGGGCCCAGCCACTCCACGGCATGTAGGGATCTTCCCGGACCAGGGCACGAACATCGTGTCCGCTGCATCGACAAGCAGACTCTCCACCCCTGCGCCACCAGGGAAGCCCTCCACGATTTAGTTTTAAATGAGAAAAGCAAATTGCAGGGTAGTTAAAACACAGAGAAAAGTAAAATTATTTATCACATCTAGCTTATAAACAGAGGCCTTGCCTCATCACCTCTAGTGCCTACCTCCAGCTGAACCTATATCCGAATCATTTTTTGCTGCAATGGAACAGATATTATTTCATTATAGATATGAGGAAAACCTCTTCCAAGGAAAGCCGAAATAGCTCAGTTGGGAGGCCATTAGACTGAAGATTTAAAGGTCCCTGGTTCGATCCCGGGTTTCCGTGACTCTTCTCTTCTCAATAACGTGCGTACTCGTCTACCTCTCTGTAAGGGGGATGATCTCAGGCTGCTACCCAGGTCTCACTTGAGCATAGATGATAATGTACTTGGGTGGATGCGGAAGAACAGGCCGGTTTTCTTTCTTTTCTCTGGGAAGGAGGAAACCGTAAAGGGATTTATGTCTTTGCTTTTAAGCTGCTCTGTGTGGCTGCTCTGTGTGGCCGGCGGGCTCTCTCCCCCCACACACGGTGCGCCGTTCGCTTTCGAATTCATCCCAGCCCGCCGGCTTCTTTCCCACCACGTTCCAGGAGCTGCCGGTGTTGGACTCTCTCCCCGCTGGGACGGGCGCGCCGACGCTCCGCAGGGGGATTTGGCGGTCATGGAGCCACCACGTGCGGGGCGCGGGGCTGCACAGAAAGAAATCCTCGATTTCAGCTTGGGGTTTAACAATAACAAGGACAGCTTTTGCTGATGGTGGCGGCGGCGGGGTGGGGTAGGGTTGGAATTCCTTTCTGGTTTATGCCTACACTAGCGTTATCAAATCAAATACAGGACGCCCAATTAAATTTGAATTTCGGAGAAACAATGACTATTTCTAGTATAAGCCTCCCAAAGATTGGCATGGGACATAATACACGTATTAGTTATTTTTCCGAAATTCAAATTTAACTGTATTTTTATTCGCTAAATCGCAAACCACTATTGTACATCATATCCCCACACATCTCTGGATGCGCCCCTCCACCCCACACCGCGTCCCCGGAAAGATACTCAGAAACTGTAGTCAGGACGACGTGGATTTCAGAAGAGACTGGTAATTTCTTATTCTCATCTCTCAGGTTTCAAAATGCATTTGCGCCCATCAGCTAATTTGTTCTCACCACCACCGGACGAGACCTTAGTGGGGATCACCAGGAAACACCCCAGGAATCAGCCATCTCACCTGGTCCCAGGCTTCCAGAACTGTCCGCTCTGGCCTGGGATGGGGGTGGAGGAAAGGGAGATTTGGAAGTTGGAATGAATCTTAAAAAAAAATTGTGTTAAGATGATGAGCCACTCCATTCAAGGCAGTGCAATGGAACACACGCTCAGGGAATGCTTTCTCTTCTGCCAGCTCCCAGGCTGGGACATGGGGAGAGAGGAATGAGACCTAGTCCTCACATAAAAGGCAACATGGAGAACTATTGTTTTTGGACCTATTATTTGTCCTCCCCTTTCTGTTAATCTGTGCCAAGATGCCTGCTGATGAGGGGCTTCAGCCCCCAAAACTTTGCGCTCTTGGGTGGAAGGATGCATTTTGCTTAAGGGACTCTTTGAAAAATTCAATGATCATCAAAAGGAAGGAAAACAAAATGGTGGATGAATAGATGGGGCAGTTCAAACTTTGCATGATGCATGTCGGCACGTGTGATGGTGAATTTTATGTGTCAATTTGGCTAGCTATGGTGCCCAAATGCCAGTCTAGGTGGTGCTGTGAAGGTATTCTTTAGATGTGATTAACATTTAAATCAGTAGACTCTGAGTAAAGCACATTATCCTCTATAATGTGGGTGTGCGTCGTCCAATCAGGTGAAGGTTTAAGAACAAAGACTGGGGTTTCCTGATGAAGAAGGAATTCTCCTCAAGACTGTAACACAGAAAGCCTACCCGAGCCTCCAGCTGGCTGCGCTGCTGAAGCTGGACTCAAGATGCAACATCAACTCTTACCTAAATTTCCAGCTTGTTGGCCAACCCAACAGATTCTAGACTTGACGGCCCCCACAATGCCCTGAGCCAATAAAAAAAATTAAAAAATAAATAAATAAATCTCTATCCACCCAGACAGCATGCTTTAAAGTGTTACACACAGGTAAGAGGGAAGGGTGAGATTTTTATTATTGCTCCCGAGGAAAAAGTGCTCTGAACGAAGGTCAACCACCTCGGGACCATGAAGGTGGGCACCATACTCCTAGGAAATGTTGGGCCTTTGCCCTGAAAGGGCAAACCCTTCCCAGTTTCCAGCCTGAGGAATCCCTTTGGGAAGTATTTGGATACAAGCAAGAAGCTCCGAGAAGAATACAGGTGTGTCTGCCTGCATCACCAAGCTCGCAAGCCTGGCATACCCCTACTCACCTTTCAAGGCAAGGTTCTAATGTCTTTTTTTCCTGCCAGGTTCTGCTCTACCCACCTTCTAGTCATTCCTCGGTGTTACCAAAGTATATATTCCTCTATTAAAGCAATGATTACACGGTCCCAAAGGTCTGCTACCAGCTCTATAGTAGCTCCACAGTGCAGGGGAGGAGACCAGGGATGGTGCGGGTCACCAAGAGCTTCCCCGGTGGGATGGCGGTTAAGCTGAGTCCTCAAAAGTGCTTTGGGCGGACGAGGGGGAAGAAGTGAAAGTGTGGTTGCATTCCAGTTAGAGGGAACACCGTGAGCCAAGGCCCGGAGGATTGAAAAGGTATAGCGAGATCTGTAGTACGACAATAGTGGCGTGTACGCTTGAGAAGTGGAGGGAGGTGGGTTCAGCCAACCCAGAGTGGGGTGAGCGCGCGTGCGCAAAGGCCAGGCCCGTGGGGGCGGGGCTGGCGAGGGTGGCGAGCGGGGCGCGGGCGCGCTTTTAGAGTCCAGGGCGGTGGTGGCTGCCACCACTTCTGGCTGGATCCCGGATCGTCTCTTTCAGCTCATCAGTTTCGTGGGCGCCTAGGATGGCAACAAGGAACTGCGAAGTGGCGCTTCTCGGGAGAAGTAGCAGCTTGGTACCTTTAACACTGAACTGTGGTCTCCGACCCTGTGCGCTTTGGGTTTGGGGCAACGAATCGCGGAGGGGCGGAGACAGTGAGTAAGCGGCTTCTCCTCCCTACGCAGGGTTTTGCAGAAATCAGGATTCACGTTTGCCAAGGGGTCTCTATATAAAAGAGGACGTGTTCTGTTTTATTTGAGAAATCTGTATTCATCTGCCAGAGAACGACTTAATCACCTTCTTTCCATACTCCCCACTTCGCCTGCCCGGCGCCGTGGGATCTCTGGACTGCAATTGGGTCGAATCACACACAAAGGAGGAGTCCGGAAACTCACCCGGTATCCCGCCCATTAGCTGCAGCGCAAACGATTACATGCCTTTCACTCACCGCAGTGCAAAGTATCGCTGTGAGCCCGGATAGCTCAGTCGGTAGAGCATCAGACTTTTAATCTGAGGGTCCAGGGTTCAAGTCCCTGTTCGGGCGGAGTTTCCTTTTTTTAACAGGTATTTTAAAAGTGAGAACTAGCTTTAGGGGCCTCTGATTTTTAGCCGGTTGCCTTTGGAAAAGGGAGTAAAATGTGGAGCGTGTACCCTGCGTTTCCAACCACTTCCCGGGGGTAAAAGGCAGGCAGACACCACGGGCCTTTGTGCAAAGGCCTCCAGGAGATTCGCAGTGCATCGCTGTAGGGTCTAAATAAGCTGGCTTACTCGGCAGCCGCCGACTGGGCTGCTTGGTCTCAACTACTGCTGCAATTAAAGAAAGGGGGACGAAGCCTTCAGGAAGTCGCTGGGGCTCCCGCAGTCGCCGCCTCCCTTCGCTCTCCGTGAGCGAGCCCTGCAGACCCTCTCTCTCGGGTTCCCTCCCTCTGGGTGCCTGAGGATTGTGGGACGGATCCCGCACCCTTCCACTCCACCTTGCTACCCTTCTAGAGAATATTTTTTGCGCTCTGAAAAGGAAGAGGTGCCATCTAGAAACTGAAGCACCAGGCAGGGCAGCTCCCCCTCTCTACCGAGGTCCAGTCTCTCCGCTAACCCCCAAAGTGTGACCCTGAATCCAGGGAGAAGTTGAGGTTGAGACGGCAGCTTCTGCTGGTGGGAGAAGGAGGGTGCCTGCTGGGAAAGCGTGCGTTTGAGGGGCTGGAATGCGAAGTGTCCTGGAGTTCGAAAAACAAAAATGTTAGCTCCCGCTGACTACAAATTAATAAGGACAGCATTTGGCTCCTGAGAAGTTTTGAGGAAGTCGGGTTGTGGACGCAAGAGCTCAGGCATGGATTCACCAAGACTAAACTAATCTTCCCTGTGAGGTGAAGGGACCAGGTACATCCTTGCCTACCTGGAGACTGAGCCTTCCTTGCTTCTGCCAGGCAACAGAAGAAAGTCGATCTTGAACTCATTAACAGGATGGGGATGTGGGCTGATTGAGTCAGCTGCCCTCTTAGGTGATGGACTATGGTACCTAACGTACCCAAAGGACGCTGATCGGTGGGGCAGGGCGAAGGTGGAGATAGAACTCAAGTGGGAGGCAGGACCTTCACCCCTTCACCCTCCAAGCTGAATGCCTTACCCTGTACCTACACAGACCCACAGTTTTCTTCTCTCCAAAGCACAGCTTCCTCATCAGGAGCAAGGGAATAATAGTAACAGCATCCCTCTCATAAACCTGTGCTGATTAAATGAGGTAACAATGCATGCAACGGTGCTTAGTAGAGTCTTTGCCCCAAAGCGAGCATGCAGTACATTGCAGCTATTATTATTAAAGAGCTTTCAGTCTAGGGAGGGAACAAAAGACACACTGAAACAGGTAAGAAACCATTTCAAAGAAATATGTTCCCAATATGTGAAGATCACGAACCCGTATTCATGTGACTTGTGTTGGTTGGTATGTGCTGAGGCGACAGCAATGGTCACCGACCCAAGGAAGAGTGGGATTCTTTCTGGAAGGAAGTGAATCATGGCACTCAGGTGGCGTTCCAGGGGAACAAAGTAAGGGAGGTGAGGCAAACACTCGGATTTTGCCTCTTCTTCCTGAGGAAGTCCCCTGGGAAGTGAGCAAGTCCATTTCTGGCAACCTTGAAAAGTGGAGTCTCTTTGCTCCGATCATTTCCTGACTGAACAAGAACACACCAGGTGGGGGAAAGGAGAGGACAAGGGGAGGAGAGCACTGAGACCTCCTGGCTCTTTCCTCCTTCCTGTCCTCAAGTTCACTCCCTCTCCCTTTCACCAAGGGGTGAAAAGTGAGAAAAAAGCAAAACAAAACAAAACACCAAAAATTAAAAGGAAAAG